GCCTTTCAAGCTGCATAACTGAGTGTTCTCAGACGGTGCTGGGTGAGAATATCGAGCTGGATTTACACGTCTTTAATAATGCAAAAGCAAAAAGGTAAATTAAACTTAAGGGGAAGAAAGAAACGGAAAAATCTAGAGGAGAGGAATCATCGTGCCATGTTCCCCTCAAAAAGGTATTAATTAAATATTAGTTCAAATCGGAGTGATCCTGGAGATATTACAGCCTCTTACAGGGTTGTGTGGTTGCCTCCAGCAAAACGCATGAATTTTCTTTTTCTACTTGCTCAGTACCATTTTTTATTTCTAATCTCTGCCTTGGTGTCACTTCTGAACAAGATCAGGCTTTTAGGCAAAATTGCCTTATCCCTTTTCCCGACAGCAGACCGATAGATGTTGTCAAAGTCCCTACCAAAAGCTCTCCGTTGTCACCCACTCCGAGAGCTCAGGATTTAACAGGAGAGACAAGAGGCGCAGGGAGACAGATGGGAGATGGCAAGAACACAGTAGCACAAACAGTCTAATTTTATTGGAAAGGGGAAAAACTCCCTTGTGCTGCTGTTCTGCAGCGTGTCCCACTTACTGGCTTTCCACATGCAGAACCAGACATGGCATCGTTAACCTCCACAATCTCCCAAACTCACTGGTTAATTATACGCTGTCGAAATGAACCTCTTGTTTTTGACCTAGTTTGAGTGTTACTGAGTGGGTAAATCGTGTCTGATATGAGGGAATACACTTCTGCCTTTGCATAAAGAATAGTTTTGAGCGCTAGCAAGACATCAGGGTGGGAGTTTTTTTTCATAATTCTGAATTATAACACCCTGAAGTAAATGAAAAAAAAATTAATCACTTCGGGGTTGGGATCGGGCCAAGTGTGATCTTGAGACATTCCCAAGACACCAACCCACACATCAGGCATTTATTAGGTAAGGAGATGTAAAATCATCAACCCCTTTATCTACACACAGTAGAATATTTTAAAAATGGAGATATTTTTGTAAAATTATTTGGGGAGAACTCATACTAATGCAGGCAGGGGAGCAAATAAGCATGTTGGCAGACGGGAAGGTTGTGGAGCTAGAGATCACCCTGCAGCAGCTTGGATGAAATGTGAGTTTCAAGGCCTGAAGAAGCCACAAGCCCAGGAATATTCCCTGCCCCATTAAGCAATTCACACATAATGGATTAATGAGTTGCTGATATTTCTATCACGCTGGGGCAGTCATTAACAAATTCTGTTTATTGCTTGGATAGCAGATGGGGCCACCTACTCATGCCAGGGATGGAAACACTCCTAAAGCTTCAGGGCAGGAGGGGGGATGCTCAGTAATCCTTCAGGAAGTGTGTTAGTGGTTCAGGGATTAAGTGGGTTCACAGGAAATCCCAGGGGAAAGGCAAACCTGAGTGAAGAGAACCACAGGCAGATTTGGGATGTCTGAGGTTACAGATACCCCTGTACCCTGTCCAAGTGTGTCCCCACATCAGTGCTCCTTCCCAAAAAAAAGTCCTGGGATAAAAGTTTTGCTTAAGATGTGCTATTTCCTCCCCTTTAGCTCTCCAAACTCAAATGCTGACCTGGGGATTTTTAAATGAAGCCCCTTTTCGCTGTTCCCATTTGTTCAACAGATAAACTGCCTACCAGCCTTTAACTTTTCATTCTGTGTATACTCAGCACTGAGGCCTGGCATAATTAAAGCCCATTTTAAATTATTCTGGACTGCAATATTTACTTTTTGTAACAAATACCGAAGAAATGGCTTTGCATGGCTGACTGACTGAAGGAAACACTCCAGGTGCTCATCTGTTCTTCAGTAACAAGTTTTTAAAAATTTAAGTATAGAATTTTCCGGCTCTTTTTTTATCTTAAAATGCTCAAAACCTCAGTGACCCCTGTGAACAGCTCTGAGTCAGTTCTTCTCCTGGTGTCAACTCTTTGCATCCCTCCTGGAGCAAAATCTGCATGGAACAGTGAAGAGTGAGATTTTGAACAAACAGCCATGGATTTGTCTCACCAAAGTATTCTGAGCACCAGCCCCCGAACCCAAATGACCCAGATAATGAAAAACTTTATTGGAAATTCCTTCTCTTCCTTGAGTATACCAAACAAGGTAGGAAAATACTCAGCACCAAGGAGTAGAGCAGATTTTCAGGCACTAGCTCCTCTACCAACAACTAGTTGCTCAGAAAAAAAACACGTTTCCCATTGCAGTCTCAGGTTCCACGCATGGGATTTGCAAAAAAGATAAGGAAAAGCCACAACAAATACCTAAACAAAAGTTGCTTAGTTCAAGCTTTCATGGCCACATGAAGACTAATAGTTATTAAGGCAATCAAAGACTGGAAATTAAAGTCTGTGCCCCATTCAAGCAGTTTCACCCCAAAGTGACCGCAGGCTCTGTAGCTTTGCAGCCTCCTACTTTTCAGCCTCACAGACCAAGAGGGCTCTGTCTCGGGAAGGAATGCAGCTTCCAGCCAAGATTTGTCAGCATGCATTCTTAGGCATGAATTGTACCACCAAGAAATCTCTAAAGTCGATTTGAGGTAGGATAAAGTTGGATCCGCGGATCTCGGCGTGCACAGAAGTTCTGTCTTGGACTGGAGAATAACCAGGAAAATTTTATCTTATAAAAGGAGGGTGTTTCACAAATTTATGGTTTATCAAAAATGAGAATGACACAGAAGCAATCATTCATAACCGTGCTGAGTGGGATGCCCGTCACACAGCCACTGCCATCAAAGGGGACTTTGTCACTGCTTTCAATGGACACAGGATGTGACCAGAGCAGCATCTGCAGCAGCTCCCAGAGAGGAACACGAGGCAAAAAAAAAAAAAAATCTTCATTTGTAACCCAGTACTTCATCTTTCAAAAGATTGGCTTCAGATGTGCTTCGGAAACTCTTCTTTTGGGTATCTCTTTCTTCCACTGAGCTGCATATTTATCAGCTCTAGTTCTAGACCTGATCTTAGGAGCTTATCTCCCAAGTGATCAGAACTTCTTTCCAATTTGGTTTTTATTAAAATAATCAGGGCTTCAAATCAATGTCTTTTTTTTTTTTATTATTGCTTACAATCTTTTCTATATTCATCATGAGCAAGCAGCACATTTCCATGTCTTTTTTGAGACTTTCTGCTTATTTATTTGCTCATCTGCCTCTAGCAAGTTCATTTATGAGGACAGAAAAACAAGAAACTGCAGGTGAAAGGGAATCAGTAATCTATTTGATTAAGGAAATCAAGGAGATGTGGTTTCAAACTTTAATTCTGGCAAGGAATTTCTGCAGACTTCCTGCAACTCAACCTCTCAGTAGCTTTGTTTCTCAACTACCATGGAAAAGTGAGGCAAATAAGACCCTTCTGCTTTATAAGAGCATTTCACAGTCAAATAATTGAGGACCAGACTTGCTCCTTTTTTTTTTTCCTTTTTCACATTTTTTGACAGCTTACCCTACAAACCAGCATGACAACTCCAGTGACAGGATTCCTGAGGGACCACTTGCACAATCATATATTATTAGATCTAATAAAGAATGACAGAATCCAGCTGTTAAAACTTCAAGAGATCCTCAAACACTATCGTGACAGCAACCATTAAACTATAGATAAATTACATCTAAAACAATCCCACTTTGCTGCATTCCCAACTGCTAAAACATCCTGTGATTTCAGGACTGCTACTTTATTCTCAGCAGGTTTTTTTTTTCTTTTCATCTAAAACCTCTGAATTTCTCCTCAGACAAGGACATAATTGCAGATACTGCTGCCAGGTAAAATTACTGCAGAGTTCTGGTTTGTACAAATTTTGGGAAACATTGGAAATAATTTGCTTTTTGAGTGCTGAGGACTAAGTGTCCTTCCTGCTTAGAGAGAAACAAACATCTTTCTGGAATTACTACAGGTACTGTTACAAGAGTATTTATATAAATTAAATTAATAAACTGAAGTGTTTTAATCTTCTGTATATCCTTGGTGTGAAGTAACTTTGCCTGAAGGATGTGTTAGGCTGAGGATTTACAGATTTAATTCTCATTCCCAAACAATTTGATGCTTCAATTTCTTGTTACCACTTCCACACTCCAGCACGGTCCAACATCCGCTAGGCAGAATAAATAACCTCTGGCCTGTTGCAATCATTAAAATGTATTTGGTTTAAATTTTTTTGAGTTTTTAAGACTGAAGCTGAGCAGGAGGCGGGATGATCCCGGGCTGGCAGCAGCCACCTTCTCATCCTGAGGGGGAATCAGGAATTCATTGCAGTGAATATTTTCCATCCATAATCTTCTGAGGGCTTATTTATACTGGCAAAAATATTTTTTCTTTCCTGAAGAGTTGTCTTAGACACGTCAAATTAAAGCAGTGAAAGAACTGGGGGGGTCCCTCAGCACGGGCATAAAGGTGAGGGGTCAGGGCAGCGAGATACCCCCACCATGGTGTTATTTATTCTGTAGAGGCTATTTATTCTGTTATTTATTCACTCTATTTAGTCTGCAAAGGTTATTTATCATGCAATTTATTCTCGTTATGTATTCTGTAAAGCCCTTTCCTCCTCCCCGAGCCGCGTTCGAAGACGTGGGCAAGCAAATTCCCACTCCCATTTGTACAGAGAGGAAAACACCGGAGGGAATCGAGCCGCTATTTCCAGGATTCAAACTCACAACCCACCACTTACAGGCAATTACACTTCCCTTAGGGGGAAAAGCATGAGTTAAGAGTTGTGTTTTTTAATTTTGTTTTCACATTAATCGTTTTAAACGCGGCGACGAGGAAGCTCGGTCACGCCATGTCTGGCAGGAAGCCCCCTTCCCCTCATGGCGCCACTCCCCTTATGCCCACCGCGGCAAAGCACGAGTTAAGAGCCGGATTTATTTTTCACACTGATAATAATATTATTATTATTACATAAACATCCACCCCTTCAAAGCGGCACGGGGGAGGTCCCTCACGGCACCGTCCCACCCCCGGCCCCTCACGCAGAGGGCGGGAAAGCGCGGCGGGCAGGGCGGGCAGGGGGCGTGGCCTGGCGCGGCCATTGAGGCCGGGCGGGTAATGGCGGCGGGGGGCGGCGGCGGCGCCGCCTGGCGGCGGGGCGGGGGGGCAGCGGGGGCCGCGCCGTGAGGGGACAAAGCGCCGGAGCCGCCAGGTAAAAAAAAAAACCCGGGGGAAGGGAGAAAGAGCGATGGCGCGGGTTGGGAAAGCGGCTGGAAGGGCAGGGGATGGGCCGCGCTGACGGCACCGAGCCTGGCTGTGTATTCGCGGCAGGAACCGCTTCCCCTCAGAGCGAGTTCCCTCCGCGGCGGGGTCGGGGCTGAGGCGGAGCCGCCCCGCTGTAATTGAAGCCCTGGGTGAGGAGGGAGGGACGCAGCGAGGGAGGGACCGCGGGGGCTCCTTCTGTGCTTTGTGTCCAGGTGGCGAGGCCGAGGGGCGGCCATGGGAGTGCAGGACCGGCCCCAGTGCTTCTTCGAGATCGAGATCAACAGGGAGCCAGGTAAGGCTGTGCTTGCGGCTTTTTAAAATCACGTTTTTGCTTGCGTGGTGGGCCCAAGCCGCTGGCAGCGAGTTTGGCCATTGATGCGTTATTTCTGAGTTACTTTGGAATAACTTCGGGTGTTTTCTGGGGTTCTGGATGCTCCTCGTTCCCGCTTGAGAGCGATTTTTATTTGCACACGTGAATATAAAGGTTCGGCAAGGCTGATAAACGCTGTTCTGAAGGTAAAAAGCCGTCTGGTGATGTATTATACCTTTTCTGTTATATCTTTGTTATGCCACTTCTGTAAACTGTGGAAAATCGGGGCAGGCTGTGAGGACACTGGATATTTACTCCTATAAGTATTTTTAATGATACAGTAATTAAAACGGGGAAGGGACTTAGGAGGTCATCTGGGCTAAATCTTTCCTTGTCCTGCTCAAAATGCTTCTTCTGAATGTTAAGGAAGAACTGGGCATTCAATCATAGAAGGACAGAACACCTCACCAGCTGGCCTGTAAAAAAAAACCCAATAATTTAAATAAACCCATCTTTTAACTCCTATTTTCCCTATACAAGTGTAATGCCCAGAAGCTGTAGGTTGTGAGTTTTAATGCTGAACGGCAGCTTGGTTCCCTCTTGTGTTTCCCCCCCTCTCTGTAAAGATGGGAGTGGAGATTTTCCTCTCCCGTCTCTTTGAACAAGCATTTATCAATGCATATTAGTTGTCTCACACATACTCCGTGCTTTATCTTGCTACCACTTGTCTCTAGAAAAATGAATGTATGTGATGGCTTCATTAGGCTTTCACTTTCATTTTCTTCTTTAATGTTTCCCTGAAAACCTTTGAATTAAGGGCTTATATCTCAGAGATTCCAAATTTCAGCCTCATTCAGATGGAACTGAAACCCTTCCTGGGGTTTTATTTTCACCAGTTTCAGAAGAGAGGTTCTGCTCTAACTTCAGAGACCTGCTAGAGCATATCTATAAATCTGTTGCTGTTGTAACTCCTCTCTGAGTTATTTTGATTGGCACAGTGGTTTCTGAATACTTCCAGTGAGGTGAGAAGTGATGATGTTAATGGAGTTTTAACGCGTTCCGTTGCTTTAATTTCAGGTGAAATTTGCTGTGGAATGAGACAACTAAAATTGTTTCAGGTTGGGTGGGTTTCCACTTAGGAATGGTAGTTTGATGGGATTGATTTAGAACAAAGACAATTCATTCTCAATCTCATATGCTGTTAATCTTTTTAGGCTTAGTGTGTTTTTAGGTTTTTTTTTGTTTGTTCTGACTCCATCTGAAGGGTCTCTCCCTGTGCTGTTTTCTCTGCTATCCCTGCACAGGTTGCTGCTCCCATTTCATAATCTCTCCTCCTGCCTCGTCCACCCCTCAACCTTGAGCTGTACATCTCCAGTGAAAGTGGATTACCTTGTTTTCCCCCAAACCTCTTTGGCTTTGGTGACTGATAGAGCTGTCAGGGAGGAATTGCAGCCTTGGTGTTCTTGGTGGTGCAGAGCTTGGGTTACCTGGAGCAGACCCAGGGCTCTGGCTCTGTGGCTGTCTGCATTTATTTTTCTCTTGGAAGTAACAGGAATCTCCCAGCTGCACATCAAACTCGGAGCCCTGCTGGTTTCATTACACCTGACTCACGGCTTGGATTTTTGCAGGAAAAATGCCAGTTTGTAAAATTGGTGCTGGCACTTGTGTGCTGTCTGGTCATGCTACTTTATTCTGGTGCCTGTTTATTAATTCACCATGCAGCTCTGTCTTGGGATTTAAGGACATATTTAAAAAGCTTAAACATTGCTCTCTTAGCTCTAAGATGACCTTCAAAAGCTGAATCAAGTGGTAAATCAGTGCTTCCAAATGACACCAAGCACTAACTCTGAGAGATGTGCTCTCCTGCTGGCATTAGTGAGGTATTCATCTTAACTTTTAAGCTGCCAGCAGATTTCCAAATGAACATTTTGCTTATTTTGACTTCAATAAATAGGCTGATATGCTTATTGCATTTTAGGAGAAGTGGGAAGCACAACAGCCCTGCATTTTGTTGCTAGCCAAGAAAAAAGGCCTTTCCCCCACCTTGTGTGCACTGAAAAGCTGAACCAACATCTCCACAAAATGCAGAGAGAAGGGGATGTGCCTCTTGCAGCACTGGAAGCATCTTTTTGCCTGCAGAACACAAAACTGTCTCCTTTTTTACACTGTAGGTTGCTGCGAGTCCAAAAACATTCCCCCCACGCAGCTGCCAAATCCTGGCTCTGCCCTTCAGGCTTTGCTTGCCCAGGGTGTGCCAGGATACCTGTAGCAATTAAAAGTCAGGTCAGTTTTACTCTAATAAGATCCCTTGGAAAATCCCTTGGATCTCTGTTTTGGCTGTGCTTCCAGAAGCTTTATTACAGCTTTTGTGTCCATATTTTATTACAGCTACGGAATCTTGGAATAAAACTCGGTGCCAGCTCGTACTTACCTCTTGCAGTGGGGCAAACTTTGTTGGCTTGGTGTTTTTTAGAGCTAAATTTAGTCTGCTTCTAAATAAGTTGCCTGTTAAGCATTTTTTTTTTTAAATGAATGCAGGTTGTGGCTCATAATTTTTAAAGGGCAAATGGAAAACAAAGTAGGAAGAATCATTTATTTTGATACTGCTGCAAACAGCACTTCTCTCTTCTTTTGGGCCCCCCACCAGTGGATTTGGGCACATTGAGTGTGCACACAGGATTAAAGTGCTTACAGTATTCCAAGAATTTTGGGATGGCAGCAGATGCCTAGTTCAATAATTCTGTCTTTACTCTGTGAGGCAGAATCTGTGTGAAGCTGCAGCCTTTCAGGTACTGTGGTAATAGGAACAGATGTCCCACTAGGATGTCACAGATGCAGTCTGCTGCTCTAGCAGCTCCTGTGGCCATCCAAGGTCTTTTTCCCACATCTCACCCCACCCCTTGACTGGTTCATCCATCATGAAGTTTGTAAATTTACTCAATTTTGCTTTGTTTCATTCTTATTCATAAAATAATTAATTAATCAAATTTTTTTGTTTATTTTTCTCCTGTCTTCTGTTACTGTTTGACCCCTGGCTCATTGATTTGTTCCACTTCAGTTTCTCTCATTCCTGGGATGTGTCCCTTCCCATACCAGTCAGTCTGGTCTTTCCTTCCTTCTCTCTGTCTAGTCACTTCAGCCTGAAGTTTGGTGCATTTGGGGATTTCAGCTGCTCTGACTTTATGTGAAAGGAGCACCCTTGCAATAGTCATTCTCATGTGCCTCCAGTAACAGACCCAGTGATGCCTTATGTTACCTTTCCTAAAGATAGAAACTGTTCTCAACTGGTTCCACGTTAACTTTTAGTCTTTAGAAGGGAAAAAGTTTTGTATTTGCAGAAAATAGAACCCAGAACTTTGGCTGTCCATGAACACATGGGCAACTACTGTGTGTGGGACAGCAGGAGCCAAGGGGGATCCCACATGGAGAAATCCCTTCTCAGGGGTGGCAAGATGGAGATTTGAAAGGAATTGATTCACTAAGAAATTTATTCAGAATAATCATGTGGAATTGTTGTCAGTGCAGGATGAAATACCCTGAAGTCTCACCTTGAGGTCTGCAACAAGTTGGATCAGTAAATAAAAGAAAAACTGATCAGCCTTTTCTGCCAGAAGGCCAAGTGCTGCCTCTCACTTCCATATCCCTGGGAAACTGAACCCAGGGAATATTTGGTGTGTGCATCACTGAAAGAAGTTTGGTTTTGTGGAGAGTGGAGGGAATTTCAGGTAGTGTTTGTGGAAGATTGGGCTTAGAGAGATGGGGAGAGAAGTTTTTGGAGATTTTCCTTGCCAAGAGTGCAGGTGGGGCACGGAGGAGTGAACAAAGTGTTAATGTGCCAGAGCTACAGATCCCTGCTCAGGGCAACTGGGACGTCTTGAAACTCATATTTTAAATAAAAATCTATTCCTGTTCTACACTGAGGTTTTTTTTTCTTGAAAACTGTAACCACAATTCTGCTTTGAAGCATGATTTTTTTTAAAATTCATGTGCCGTAGCATTGACAGATTTAGGGATAAACAAATTAATACAATTCAAATAGGGTCGTTTTAGTAAGCTGTTATTTAAACTTGTATGCAAATCTGTCTGAGCCTTTGGGCCCTTGGCAGCCGTCCTGGGCTGTGCATCATTGTCTCACTGGTTGTAATCCCTGCTTTCTCCTTCAGCAGGATATTCCTGCTGATAGGCTGGGAAAAATACTTCTTGTTTGTTTACTCTTAAGAAATTGAGAGAAGATAAAATCCTGTAGATACAGTTTTGAAAAACCAGATTTCTTTTGGGAGTGTGTAGCTGAACTTGATACCTGTGTGGTTCAAACATAAAATCTAGCAAAACACTTCACATTACTTGGAAAATAACTTGAAACAATGTGTGTTTGGCTTCCAAGGTTTTTTTTCCAAAAAATTAAGCAGCTAGATTGGAGGATTTACCTTTGAAACAATAAATACTTAAAATCAATTATTATTTTAATAAACTTTTCTATCAGGAGCCCTTATTTTTCAGTATAGCATAGATGTTAATTTGAATCAAGTACTAGCTTTTCCTCAGCTGGAAAGTTGTTAAGGAGTTCAAAACCAAGAAAAAAAAAATCATCTTTTAGTTTGAAGATAGAGTTCTGAAATTTGATTATTTTTGGTCATTCTGCCTTCTGGTTTCTCTAGCTCATTAGCTGCAGAGAGCCTTTAATCAAATTTCCAAACAGCTTAGATTTTATATAGGCATCACTTGCTGTACGTAATGTACATATTTCTTTCACCACTTACTCTGATTCTTAAAAAAACTAGTTCAGAGCCTGCTTACAAATAATACTTTATCAAATTATTGTTTCATAAATAATAAGCAAATGCAATCCCAGCAGACTTTACTTTAGCCTGGAGTTGAGGTGTCTGTGCAGGCTCATTTCTTGGTTAAAGCCAACTGAGGACTCTGGGTAGGTTTGTGAGCAGCTTTTGCTTACTTGACTGACTCTTTTTAGTGATTTTTGTTTGTTTATTTTAATTTACTGCTCAAATATTATGGTTAGTCACAGTGAGCTTGTTCCCTGATCAGTTCACTTAACCTTTGCATCCATTTGTGAGCAGCTTTTGCTTACTCGACTGACTATTTTTTAGCTATTTTTGTTTGTTTGTTTTAATTTACTGTTTAAATATTGTGGTATGTCACAGAGAGCTTGTTCCCTCATCAGATCACTTAACCTTTGCATGGGGAAATGAAGCTGAAGAAAGCATTGGAAATTGTCTGCAGTGAAGGTGATCATTTCAGAGAAGTGTCTAAATCTGGGGAAATAAGCAGCATCTCAAATGCTTTTTTTATCTGTGCTATATCAGCATATACCTCAGCTCCAAGTTTAAAACTAGATTTTTCTTTTTTTGTGAGGGCTGAGGAAAGAGAAGGATTCATAGGTGCTATTCATACATACTTCTGTTAATTTTTTTTATTAGCAGCTGTTCTTTCTTGCATCTTTGACCAAGGTGTGAAAATGGGTTTGATCTTTCTCTGGCACATTTCATAGCCTGTTTGTCAGTGGAAAATACAACCTTTCAGTGATAATGATATTCATGCAGTTGCAGTAAAATGCAGCCAGTAACCCAGCAGATGGATTCACAGTGTGTGGTTTGTGTCTCAGGAGCAGACAGCAGCGTTTTCTGTCGCTGGATGGAGCTGGGTAAGCAGTGCTCCAGGTTTTATGGAGGAGCCAGCCCTCACCTTATAAACTGGATCTGTCATCTTTGGATCTTGGATATATGTGCATTGCAATTTGTAGGATTAAAGGGCATAAAAAGATCAGGCTGGATGGGCGTGGAGTAACCTGATCTAGTGGAAAGTGTCCCTGCACATGGAACTGGATGATTTAAGGTCCTTTCCAGCAGGAACCACTCTGTGATTTTATGAGCACCTGGCAGACTTTGTTATTGACAAAACACTGGTGAAAAATACTGCTTAAAGTGATACCTTGGTTATGAATGTCTCCTTCCATCCTCTGCCTTGTCATCTGCAGGAACATAAGAGAGTTCTTCCACTGGAACACCACAGTGGTGGTGTCTCCTGCTTCAGGTGCTAAATATGGTGGGTTTGCAGCAAAATCCTTCTACAATTTATGCCTCGGAGTAAAAGTCCCTTCTGGAGCCTGCAGGGACTAACAGCCCTCAGTAACTTGGCAGCTGGCACCTCGGTGAAGCAGCAGCTGGGCTGGAGAGCAGAATGGGGGTAGTGACAGCTTTTTCCCTGGAAAGTGCCGTGTGTTATTTCACACAGTGAATGCAGGAGGAATCCTCTCCTGCAGAGACAGAGAGAGCTGGAGCTGTTCAGCCTGGAGAAGGCTCCAGGGAGACCTTAGAGTCTCTTCCAGGATCTAGAGGGGCACCAGGAGAGCTGGAGAGGGACTCAAATGGTCATGGAGCAATGGGGCAAAGTGTTAAATTGAAAGAGGATGGGTTTATATGGGATTCTGGGTAGAAATACCTGGGGCCCTGAAGCTGTGGCTGCCCTTGGATCCCTGGAAGTGTTCAAGGCCAGGTTGGAGCAACCTGGGATAGTGGAAGCTGTCCCTGCCTGTGGCAGTAGAGCTGGGACTGGATGAACTCTCAAGTCCCTTCCAACCCAGCCCATTGTGGGATTGTGTTCTGTGGTTCTGCCCAACCTGGACGTGGCTCTCTGGAGCACTGGGTCCTGCTCAGGTCAGTGCTTGTGCAGCAGAGGAATGGAAATGGGATTTGTGTTCTCCTGAATTCCTGGGCTGTAATGGAAATGGATAACTCTTCAGCTAAACTGTCGTGTCTGTTGTGTTCCTTGTAGGGATCTTCAATCCTCACAGTTTAGAATGATTTGTTCACTTGCAAATAGCCATGTCATAGTGGTAGCCACAGAACTGCTGTTTGATGGGGGATCTTTGAATATTCCCTATTTCTTCATTCTTTGGACACTCTCCCTAACCATTTCCTTGGATATTCCTGCTATAGTGATAAATGCTTAGAGAACATTCTTGCTGCAGTTAATGAGATACAGACCTTTCAAGGGCTCAAGGCATCTTGAATTTTTATCTAAGATTATCAAGTACTGGTGCTATTTTATTTCTTCCTTTCTGAACCAACAATTCACCATCTTATAATTGTATACATTTGGACAGAGCCTTAAAATTTACTGCAGTTTCCTAGAAGCCTCTCAAAAAATTTTTTTGGTGACTAAGTATTGAATGAAATACATTTGAACTTAATTGTTTTTTACTTTAAAGGAAAGAAAAGAGAAGTTATTCCTGGAGTAGTTACTTTTTGAAATGATGAAGTCTTACCAGTGTGCACCACTAGAGTGTAGTGCTCATTGTCAAATTATTACTGGTCTCCTTGTAATCCTGCCCAATAGTGAGGCTTCTATGGATTATTTTACAACCTGAAGAGATACCAATTTTGTCTTTATTAATTATGTATTTTTTAAAGATTTCATACATTTGGGAGCAATTTATCGTGGGGTTTTTTAGTACTATACACCCCAATATCTTGGAAAATAAAATATAAAGTGTAAATCAATTTTAAAACAGTTTTACTTATATTCAACCACTTTTCAGGAGTATTTTAATAGATTTGGAGGATGCATAGCACAGCTACCACCAGTAACAAAGAGAAAATATTTGGTTTATAGTACCTGGCAAGTGGGGCATTAGTCCTGCCTGCCTTTAATATTCTCTGTTTGATTCATCTGGGTTTTTTTTAAACTGAAGGATTTTAGGCCAAGAGTGCCAATGCAGCTGTAATCCTCAGCACAATATGGAGCTAAGCCAGTTGGACTTTGTAGGTAATGATCACAGGGAAAACTGTGGAAATGTGATAATTAATGTATTTATATGAACACAGTAATTGGGGAGGGAATTGCTCCAGCTCTCTGAGGACCTGTATTTATGGGAAATCATTTTCAAGATGGGAAAGATCTGACATGATTAAACTATTTTAGTAAATCAGCTTGGATTTCCAGGTTCAAATCACAATGGAATCTCTAGGACTTCTGATTAAGTAGTATTATTCCATCCAATTTATGTCATTTTTTTTACAATTATGTTCTTCTTTCTTGCTGTATGTTTTAATGTATGCATGCTTAAGATGTTTTCTTATCCTGCTTGATAAAATAACCTTTTCTCAGAAAATTACATTTTTTAGAACATACAGATTGATTTATATGCAGATTTTCTTACTCCAGACAGCTCTAAAACTCTAATTTTTAAAAATTATTTTCTAGTTGGTCGAATTATGTTTCAACTCTTCTCAGACATTTGTCCAAAGACTTGTAAGAACTTCCTTTGCTTGTGCTCGGGTACGTAGCTGATTTTTCAAATATTTATTGTTAATAAATAATTTTTAGTGTTAATAATTTTAGTGCTAATTATAATTTTAATGTTAATAATTTTATTTTAATAATAATTTTTGTGTTAATAATAATTTTTGTGTATGGAAACAGCTGCTTAGGCAGGATGGGGCTCAAAGACAATGATTTTTGTTTTCCTCACAAAATTCATGCATGTCTAGAGCAAGAAGAACAAGGCTGGTATTTGGCCTGGAACAGAAGAGAAGCTGAACTCCAGAGCAGGGTATTGGTTATTGGGTGAAGGTGTCTGAACTCAGGGAGGTACTGCAGCTCCTGCCAGTGGAACAGCTGCTGTGTCTTTCACCTGACTGGGAAAGCACTGGAGTACTCTAAAGGGGAGTGAGAAAAGGGACTGGGACTTCTGGCTGTGGCCAAAGCCCCCATCTCAGTGTACCAGCTCTGTTGAAGAGCTTTAATTTTAAGTTTTAAATGGAACAGAAATGTTATCATTTATGTGTTCATAATGCATAACTTCAGAAAATACCATGAAAGTATTACAATGCCATAAAAATACTTCATTTGCTGTGAAGTATAGCATAGCTCACCCATTTCATTGTTAATTTTTAAAGTTCAAAAATATTTCAACTGATGTAATGCTTGGAAAAGTGTGCTAAAAGCTTTTCACTGGAGTGAAAAGTCTGAACTGCTTTTCACGTCTGGGTCTGCAGCAGAGGCAGCACTGGTGGTGTCCTGTTGGTAAAGGAATGTAACTGTGCCAGCTCAAGGGCCATGCAGGATCCCATTCTCTAAGGGATTTCCATAGCCCTGAGGGACATCCTGAAACATGACCAAACATGCAGGCAGATATTCCACGGTGTTGTTTGATGAGAGGTTTCCAGCTTTTCAGTGCTGTAGCACAGAGGGGTATGTTTTGGGAGGAGTGGGTCCATCCCTGTAATAAACAGCTTTGCTTGCATAGCTGATGTGGAAAGCAAAAATAGGGTAGGAGGAGGAGGCGTGGATTGGGATTATGGGTGTGGAGAGGCAGGTAAATAACTTGTGTTCCATGAGTGAAGGATGATAAACAGCAATGCCCTGAGTGGCTTTTGTGCCACAAACTGCCTTTTGCCCTCATCCTGGCAGTGATGGGCTTGGAATGGCAAATTTGGGATGATTGAGCTGGCAGGTAATTTGGGGTGGCAGAGTAATAGATTGCAGCAGGGGAGTGTTGGCTCTGGGTAATGAGTGTACCTGCATTTCTGAGAGTGCAGAATGTTTGGTGACATGTCCTCTAACCCAGTGTCAAATACTTGTTCCATGACCAGTGATGGGGTGGAACTGAACATTGGGTTGTTTGTCCTGTTATTTATCCTCTTGATTTGTGTTCTAGTACCCAGCATCTCCTGTACATGTGGATAATGTGGGGTTTTAACTGTTGCACAGTGTGTAATATTATTATTACAACCTTTTACTGTTAATTGCCACATTCTGCCAGCTCCCCTCCTCTGGGAAGCTCAAGTCAGTGTCTCTTGACCAGTATAAATCCCTCATGGATTTACTGCCTAGAACCTCAGCCCTGCCAGTCATTGTGACCTCATCCACAAGCCCAGGGCAGCTTCTCTTCTGAATTTTGGAAGAAATGCTAATGAAACTTGAAGTTGTGGGACCACTAACTCAAAACTCACCAGCCCAGCTGGTCTGCAGCTGGTGTTAAGGGGTGGCCAGACACTGCATGGACTGGGGAAGGTGTGGAAGCTTGGAGTAGCTCAATCCCACTTTTCTAAGTGTGGATCACATTGAAACTGAGTTGAAACCTGTTTTCCTGGCTTTTCTCCTGGGAATCATCTGGCACATCCAGATGTCTGAGTGGTTTGAAAAGGATACTGTGACCTGCATAGGAGTGTAGCTGACCCACAGAAAATAGTTAACCCACCATTATCCTGAACTCTTGTTTTTTTTGTAAATTATCCTGAGTAGATTTATACACTCCTTCTTGAGGGGGTTTTAACAAACAACTTAATTTTCACCTCAGAGTCCCCCTTCTGGATGGTGAAAAGCCATCAGGTAGGACTGTGTTATCTTTTAGTTATGGCTTCCATGTCCATTAGAACTAGGGAGGGAAAACCCTTGGAATTTCTTCAGTGACAATCTGTAGATTCTTTTTGTTTCACCTTCTTGCAGGTGAAAAAGGAATTGGCAAAACAACTGGGAAGAAGCTGTGCTACAAAGGCACCACATTCCATCGTGTGGTTAAAAACTTCATGATTCAGGGTGGGGACTTCAGTGAAGGTAAAATGGGCTTTTAAAACTGCCAAGTTTGCAACGGAACAGAAATGTTATCATTTATGTGTTCATAACTTCAGAAAGTACCATGAAAATATTACAATGCCTTAAAAATACTTCATTTGTGTGAAGTATAGCATAGATGACCCATTTCATTGTTAATTTTTGAAGTTCTAAAATGTTTCACCTGATGTAATATGTTTAGAAAAGTGTGTTAAAAACTCCTCACTGGAGGGTTTTATGATATTCCATCTTATTAAAACAATTCAATGCAGATTCTAGTCTGAACTGCTTTTTACTTCTGTGTCTGCAGTAGAGGCGACACTGGTGGTGTTTTCTTGGTACAGGTGTGTAACTTTGAATAAGTTTAAAATTAATAATAAAATATTGAATGAGCAAGAAATGTTTTAAGAGTCTCCAGAAGGAATTTACCTGGATTTTTTTGTTCGTTTCCTGAAATAGCTGTCTTTACCAAAATGTCTCTTTTCACTGTGTCTTGAAATCCTGGTCCTGACCAAAAGAGCCTGAGGAGGGAATATCCTATTTTGAGAGTCAAGTGCTGGTGGAATGTTTTGCACAGCTTTTGTATAAATGAAGCAAAAAGTTTTAATTGATGCTTTTTAATGTGTAGGTAATGGAAAAGGAGGTGAATCTATTTATGGTGGCTATTTTAAAGGTAAGAGCAAATATGTCTTTGCAGATTCTCTATTCAGCTCTGAGAGAAATAAGTCTTGATTCCCAAACTCCTTAATGAAAACAGGTTCACTCATAGATCACCTTTTGCATGAAACTAATGTTGCATGAGAATTCCTTTTATATGCATGACTTTTGGATAATTTTTTGTTAATATTTAACTTAAATTGACAATTAATTAAGGCTAACATAATTGGTTAAACATGACTTTCAGCATGGAGGCTAGGCAACTTTATTCATGAATAAACTCCTATCTTCCTGCCTAAAACTGTCAACATATTCTTTTGTTTATAGAGAATGTGGTCTTTTGCAAAATGAAAAGGTAAGAGACAAAAGCTCAGTAACACAAATTCAAACTCTGTTCCCTTGTCCCCTCCCTAGTAAATATTTAGAGAACTGCTAAGTCCCTTTGTAGATGGATATCTGTGTTGCTTGGAGAAATGAAGAGTTTGTGTCTAACCTTTCTGAGGGTTAATGACTTATTCTGAGAGAGAATCCACATAATTCCAGTTCTAAACAGTGATTTCTTCTTTTGTTAATGTCCCTTTTCCTCCCTTTCCCTACTCAAGGGAGTAGGTTTGTATGCTTAGGGTTCATTTCTGACTTTATTTATATGCTGCACAAGTCATTTTCCTTGCAAAGAATTGGTAAATAAATGTACAATTGCCTCTTGTAAAAATCTATTGGAAGGAAATGGTGAGTTTTTAAATTATTTGTTTAAAGATATACAATTATTTATTTTAAAAAACAGATGGTTACTGTGATATTCAGGTGTTAAGACAGTGAATATATTTATTTACAGCCTCTGGTTCTGTGTGTGTCGCAAGTAGCTCTGGTTAGCTGCATGAAACTTAAGTTTTGTTTTTTAAAAAGGGACAGTTTGATGTGGGACTATTGAAGTTTTTAATCAAGGAAAGGCTTGAACAGATCTATTTACCAAGAAGTTACTCAGGGTTTATTTCTCATGGTTAGTGCTAAATATGCAGGATTGTGTCTTGATATGTGATCTAAAAATTAATAGCCTTGTACATTCAAATTAGTATTTTTATCTTTGGAAATGACCTGGAGAAGATCTGGTTTTATATTTTGCTGTACAACCAGAACTCCTTTTTAATTCACTGCAATATAAAATACGTGTTTAGTTTACTCTGAGTGGCTTTTATACTTAGATTCAGATGCAGAGAGGTTTTTTTTGCTTCTGTGCTTTGAGACTTCCAGTTTTGAGTGTAGAGGTGGCATACCAGGGAAATAAACAGCTTTTTCCTCCTGATCTGTCCACCTGGAGTGTAAATAACAGCATAATGTATGTTAATTATTGTTTTAGAATGTCAATAATTCTACCAACCTTGTTCTTACCCAAATAACTCAGTATTTAAATCTATTATCTAATGTTATTGAAGACACTCATAATGACTTGAATTATTTTTAATTAGAAATGTTTGCACTGTATCTGCATCATTTTAAGAAACATAGCTTTGTCTCAACTGTAATTTGAAGAGACTTGTTTAAACCTGATTGTTGTTTTTCCTCCAACCTATTCCCATTTCTCCAGCAGCAGCAGAATTTCTCCTTAGACCATCCATAAGTTACTAAGAAAACAACGTGCTTCCCTTGCCAGGGGAAAATCTGACAAACATATTTTTTCTTCAAACAGATGAAAACTTTATTCTCAAACATGACAGAGCGTTCCTTTTGTCAATGGCAAACCGAGGGAAACATACCAATGGTTCCCAATTTTTCATGTGAGTAGATGTGATCCCACAGTGGAGCTTTTCTTACACAGAGAAGCGCTGTTCATGAGAAAGATGGTATTGCTAAATTATCCATATCCATGTTCTCCAGGGAGTGGCACCTGCAGGAGGAAGTGTTACAGATCCCTATTTCCTTGTGGCATTCATTTAGATTAAAGCTGGTGCTCCGTGGATGTTCTTCCTTTGTGGCTTTTTTCCCTAAAAATCTGATTTATGTTCAGTTCTTAGTGGCCAGGAAATAGATTCTTTGCCTTTGTGGGTGCACAAATCTCATCAGTTTATCTGCAAATGACAATGATGAGCATTTTATAAGGGGGAGTGAGATATAGAGGTGGTTTGTATGGTTTTGTTCTTTAAAAAATGGTGATTTATGATTTACTTCTGGGGGGGTGTTTTGTTTGTTGTTTTTTCAGGATGAGTGGGAAATTTTATTTGATTTATTGTGATTATTATTAATTTTTTGAGTGTTTGTTCCTGACATGCTTTTTTAATACATATTCTGCATAATTCTGTTAACTTGTGCATATACCAACACTATGTAGAATTATGTGCTGATATCCAGATTTTAAATGCCATTCTAGTAACCACAATCTGTTAAATTATAGAAATTACAGAAAACACAATAACTTTTACTCATAAGTAAAGCACTCAGGTCTGATACTGAGGGTTTCCTGGTCAAAGCAGGTGTATTTTAGGTTGAGTATCAGTTTTTTCAAGCTTGCAAACTTTGATGTGATTATTCCTTTTGTTAACTCCCTTCTCAAAATTACCTCCTGTTAATGTTTACCAGTTTGTATTTGGAAAGAGCAGGTTGATAACTTTAGTCCAGAAATACTTCAGGAAACAACACTGGGGTTTGAAAAGTAAATTTTAGCATAGTTACTGAACTAGAAAAAGTCTTTTTTTCTTTGCCATCTTTCTTGGGGGATAAGAATGAATGGCGCTTCCCTGTCTTCAGTAAAGGAGTAAATTGTCCTCAAAAATCTTGGGTTTTTTTCTTTGCCTGAAAAAGATCTTCAGTATGATATGATGTAGTTCAGATAAGAAACATTTTTAGGTCTTTTCCTAAAAAATGTCCTGAAAATGGAAGATGCATAGGAACCTAAAAGAAAGTCTCACACTTACCACTGTTTAGACATTCTATAGAGATAAAATTGTTTCAAAATGTTTTCTGTTCCCTTCAAAGGAAATTTCACATGGTGTGCTTGATGACAATAAATCTGAAAGGATATGTGTTCACATTAATATGGAAAACAGTTTACATAAATACAACTCCATGGCTTAATAAGCTCTCTGAAGGCATTGCTTCATTATTTTTTACTTGATGACTTGCCTTTGGGTTCTCTTGCCTTAATTTTCCATTTTTAAGCTTATCTGAACATTAAACATGAAAACCTAATGATGTCACATCAGTCAAGCAGCTGTCATTTGAGGGCTCTAAAGTTTCTTTTCTCTCCTGCATTTGATTCCAAAGTCATCTTCTTTCCCTGATGCTTGATAGGCTCAGCTTGTTCAATCAGATTTAAACACCTTGTCTCTCCCCACACACCAAAACAACCCAAGGTTGTGTTGGATACTAAATTATAATTCATACAGGACAATAAATGAAGATTATTTTAAAGCACTTTCATCAAATACTGAAGTATTTTGAAAGATGCAGATTTCTTGAATAATTCAGGGTTTTTTTCATATGATCACTCTAAGGAGAAGTGTGAGTTCAGTGGGAATTGAGGCAGAGCAAGAGACCTAAACACTTCCACGTGAGCTGGGTTCACCTGGGCTGCCTGCAGGGATCCAGAGCTGGATTTAGCTCTGGTTAGGCTTAGCTTTAGGCTCCTGGGCTGTCCCCTGTGGCCTTCAGGACGAGGATGCTCTGGAGCTCTTGCCTTCCCATGCAGGTTTCTGGGCTGTCTCTAATGTCTGAGAAGGCACCAGCCTGCCCTGGAGCCAGGGAAGAGAATCAGGATTGCAAGTGGGAAACAGCTCCTAAAGGTTTTATCTAGGCACTTTGTACCTTCACTTTAAAATGCAGTTTATTAAAGCAGTTAGTCTTGCTGGGTGGCATTTGTCTGATTACTTTAGGGAATGTGCAGTGCATCTATAGAGCTTTTCTTTTGTAAAATACTTCCTTCCTTTACACTTTAAGCTGAAATTAAAATGTGGGGTTTTTTTTATACTCCCAGTAATGCTCAGTTTCTCTGTAGTTTATCATTAGGAAAAATATTATTCAAATGTTTAACCTGAAATGTGTGTGAAAGGCAATATTCAGTGTTAGCCTTCAGATTTTTTCTTTTTAATATTTGTATATATTTCATTTATTAAATTTATAGAAAGGGAGATAGTTAATGTGAGCTTCTTTAGAGCTCTGCATTTGTTTTCAGGGATGAGAACTCTGTATCTTGTACACATCTAATGTAGCAGATAAGGAGTGCAAATAAGTGATTTTCTTTTCTATAACAATTTGTCCAAGTAGGGCAAAAATAATAGCAAGGATCCTGACTGTAAGAGTTCTGTTAATTCATCAGAATTCCCTGCTCTCCAGAGAAAAATTATATTTGGAATAATGAGTCTTTACATCAAGTAATGTCTCTTTGGCATATTGCACCAGCAAACCAGGCACAAGGAGACTGCAATGCCTAAAAGTTAAAGTGGACAGTTTTAGTTGAAACAGAATCTCCAGACTCATCTTAATGTAAACAGATGCTAAAAATCATCAGCTTTCTTGGAGTAGTCAGGGATTTCTCTGGCATGAAAGAGCTTGGAGGGTTTATGGGCAGCAATGAGAGCTGGGCATGGGAGAGGCAGTGGAAGTGATGGTAGGAAGCTTCAGGGAAAAGCTTAGACTGAAATCAAAGCACTGCTGGAGAGTGGCACAGTGCAGAGGTGGAAGGAGTCAGAAATGTGTCTGTGTAGTATCAGAAGTGCTGGGTTTAATGCTTGTAGACTAATTGCCCCCTTTTTTTATTCCCCTTAATTGAGTAGGAGCAACAGTTGGGTGGGTGGGAAGGAGAAAGTGTAGCTGAGGGAAGATTGTGAGTTCCATGTACATGTGCTGTAAATAGGCCAAGTCTGTTCTCATGTGCCTGAGAAACATTTCCTACTCTGGAGGAGCACAGCATTTGGCAGTCCAGCAGAAAGGATCCAGAGAGAATCCCTCTAGATTTGTAAAATGCTTCAATTCCAGTTTTCTTTACCCAAAGGTTTGTAGCAGTTCATTGCAGGCTTGTGTTAAAGAGAGTTGGAAAGTTTAGAAATTACTTCTTTGTATTTTCAGGGAGCCCCACTCTGATTTTTTTTTTTTTTTGGTGAATAACTTCCTGTAGAACCTTCAATGATTTTACACGTGTTCTAAACCCATCTGGGAATGTAAATCTGTAACTGTCCTGTTTCCATGTGGGTCCTGAGCTAGGAATCCCCAGGATGGGGCAGAGATGGGTAGAACCATCTTTTCTTTTTCTCTATCTCCAGTAGCTGCTTTGAATTGCTGCTGCCAACATCAGCAGCAGTTAGTGGGGGAGCACAGACAGAGCTCATCGATACCCAGGGCTCTTCTGGATATTCCAGCTCAGTGCCTGGATTCCTTTGGGTGATGTTCTGGAGCCATGTGCTCCCTTCTCTTTCTCTGTAAATATCTTTTCTCTTTAGAGCCATTCCATCATTCCTGCGGCCATTCCCCACGTGCCAGTGGGGAATTCACAGTACAGAATAGTGCAGCTCTGGTGAAAATGAGGGAATCAAGGAACATTACTGAGACTCGTGATCCTCACTCTCAGCTCTGTTTCCCCTCTCACACCAAATCTGCCAATCAAACCACAAGTGCCACTGCTGAAAGAAGAGTAAAGCAATAATAGGAAGCAAAACAAAGTAACCACTTAGAGAAAAGAGGGAAGTTTTGTGTCATAATTATTTTATTATAGTTCAGGAATAAGCCCTTAGTGCAACCTAAAGAGGACTCCTGGAGTCTCTTCCTTATCAGTTCAAATGCTTGGAGTTCTTGCCTCTCTGTCCCACAGCTATTTAAAACTTGAGTCTGATTTCCTACTACTGACAGATTTTTTTTTTCCTTATTGAGGGTGTTGTTGGTTTAATGTGTCTCTCAAGCTCTGCTTTCTTGCTCAGAACTAAATAGAATTTTTTGGTTTAAAAATGTTTTAATGTTTGGTGCCATGCACAGTTCATAAATTGAAACAAAGAAACCACTTTGATCTGCTAAATGAAAGATAAAATAATTTGGGAGTACTTTTGTTTTGATTTTACAAATTGTTTGTGAATGTTACCAGCTCATTAAAAGTAGTTCATATCTTTTTGGTGTCCCAAACCAGGTATTTTTCTAATCAACAGTTAATAATTTCCTTTTTTTTTGTTGTTGTTGTTGTTGTGAATGAAATACCTTTGAGCTAATTATTGAACAGTTGACTAATACAAAAATGAAAAAATTTCAAAGGGGCTGATGTTGCATTATCTTTGAAAATTATTGGTACACACGCACTTCCCACACAAGCAGGTCCCATTGGCTTGATCAAAAATTTATGGAAAAATGAAAACATTCCCAGGATACTTTAATGCATAATCAATAACAAAAAGATCATTTTAGCACTTGGCTGTGCAGAGATAAATAATCACTGATAGTTTGTTGGGGGTGGGGGAGAGCTGTGGGTGAGCTCAGCTGATAATGCAGTTTTCAAACATTGCTGCTGCTCAGAATTACACCAGGGTAAAATCCAGTACCAGCTGCTGCAGCTGTTTGGGCTTTTTTGCACCTGCAGTGTGGTTTTTCTTCTAAAATTCTGAGCAGAAGCAATCAATGCACATATTTTAGAGAAAGCACTGGTTTTTCACTTGTAGGAAAGCTTCATAGTAGGAGGATGTTAGCTAAATATGAAATAAATATCTGAAGCTGTGAACTTCCTGGCTGTACAGGTATCCTTTGTGAATCCAAACATTTGTGTGCCAGCCTGGGGAGTTTCTGCTTAGGAATGAATTCAGCATTTGAACCCCTATGGAGCTGCAAGCATCTGAATAAACCCATAGAAATTGGTTATTCACCTGCTTCAAGTTGGGCTTTTTTTGCTGGAATGAGACTTAGAGGGGAGTGGGGGCGTTCTCCAACTGTTTGTTTTTGCAGTAGTTTTGCAAGCAGGTTTTGTCTCGCGTTTTCTTTTTGTTTTTATAGAGAACTTTAGTTTTCAAAGTGTATTCTAAAGAAAATTTAGAGCCCTCTTTTAGGCATCCTTTTTCTGCATACAACTTGATTAATAATAATTTTAAACTTGTATTTAATAAAACATAGACTCAGTTTTGTCTGAAAATGTATTACAATTTATTTCTGCCATTTTTGTGTAAAATTTACAGAAACAGTGTTACATCGTGCGCTCCAAAGGTAATGTCTCATTCCTCTAAGGCTGTGTCCTTTCCTTTTCTTTCTGTTTTTCTCTTTCTTGTTTTTCTGATCATATTGTTATGTGCATTGAACCCTTTCTTAGGCCTGAGATTCTTTGGGGGGGGTGGGTGAGAACATGCTTTTATCAAAAAGATGATTTTCTCTTCAGCAGTATCTTAAACCAATTTAAACTTGAATGAAGAAAGGTCCTTCTGTAAATAACTTGCATAACAGTGTCTATTAAAAGGCAGATTTTGAATGGTTTAAATGATGACAGCTCTATATAGAAATGTTCTAATAAAATATTACTTTGGGGGGACGAACTCATCATGACTTTAGGTTTCCTTACTGCCAGGACAGGAGGTAGGTTTGGTTTGCTCCTGGTTAAGTTCTGAAGCCAAAGCAAATATCCAAGGATTGTGCAGAAAACCTTGAAATGCTTTTAAAAAGTGCGCCTTGGCAGAATAAATGTCAGATTCCAGCCCTGAGTCTGAAGTGAGAAAACTTTCAAAGGCACCACAAGGATTTGGGGCTTGGGAAGTTGTTCATTCACCCAAGTCCTCGTGGTGCATCTGGAAGGTTTCCTGTGGGACAAAGCTTCTCCTTGTTCTCTCTGGTGAACAAGGGCAGAAACCCTGTCCTTTTTATCTCCCAAACTGCCAGGGCAGTGGGGCAGCCTCTGCACAGGTTTTAATGCACCACCCACCCCTTCCTCTGCTCAGGAAGCACCAGCCCAAAGGCAGCTCCTGCTTAGGTAATTTGCTTAATTAGTCTCCAATACTGCTGCAGCATGGCAGGAGCACCTGCAGCCTCCCCAGCCCTGGTTTTGAGCCTGTTGCTGTTTCCAGCTAATTCTAAACACTGTCTTCACTCTACTGGTTTCACTGAAGTGACCCACTTCTGGTTTTTTCACCCCTTTAAATCAGCTTCATAATTAAAGCCACTTAAACTGTTTACTTAACAGCAGGTTGTTAATGCAGTTAACTCTTGCTTCAAGAGCTTCAAAAGCCATAAGGATTTTTCTTTTTGTAGCATTATGCTGTGTTAGCAAGGAAAAATCAAAGAAGACCCACTGCTATTGAGAAATTTAATGTTGTGCTAATAGCATTTATTCCCCTGTGTTAACCAAAAGAAGCTTTCTGTATTATTCAGTATTACAGAAGTGGGTGGGCTGGTTGATATTTGGAACTTAAAAAATAAAATCAAGAGTGTAAACACTCCTGATTCACAGTTCCACCTTTTGGGATGTGTTCAGCACTGCGGGGTTTTGTGACCTAATAGTTCAAAATTTGGGGGAAGACAAGTGTTTAAGAAGTAATATTTTATTCTAGCAGTGAAAAACTGACTTCATACCAAATCTGTGTTATTGTAAGTCTAGAAAAATCACCTGTGATTGATTATTTATTTTGAGAGCGGGGAGTTCATTGGAAGGGCTTTAAAAGCACAATAGTGTTTGGGAGGAGAGAGAGAATGTTTTCAGAAGTGATTTTTCCCCCAATATTTGAGCAGGTTCTGATGTTCTTTACTCAATGTTCCTGCATAGCAGGATGCCCTGTGCAGCAGAAATTCAGGCTCACTTGGAGAAGTAACTTTAGTTTTGTTTTGGAAAGGGATTCACAGCATTAGAATCCAAAAGATTTGTACAAAAGGCAGTTGCATTTTCCAGGCTCAATTTGAGAAGCTGAAAAATAGGGAGGAAATCTGCATTTATCAGTGAAGTGTAGATGGCACAGAATGTCTGCTGTTGATTTTGGGAAGCCTGTGAGTTTTTGAGCTGAAGTGTTTGATGAGTTAAGACAGAAATACTGCTTTGTGTTCTGAGTCAGAAGGCCAAGCAGGTAAATGGGCAGTGAGAAAGAAGTGGTGGGAGGTGAGGGGAAGCAGGGAATCCCTCATACATCATAACTCTTCTTTTTTAAAACAAACTGTCTTTAAAGTGACCTTGCAATCTAAGAAGCTAACAAGCTCAGAAACATTTAAATCCCACTGGTCACCTAATATTTGTCACCAAATTGTATCTTTTCTGTGATTAAAAATCGTAAAGTTACATTAAATGTGTATTTTAAGACACTTACGTGGAAATTGTTTACTGCATGCATGAAATTATACTTGGTACAGCTTTTACTATGCACAGTTAGCTAAACTTCAAACAAATATCATGTAAAAGTTTAAGAAAGCCTGTGTGTATAATCTGTAAGTTTAATTTGTTAATTCCATGTATTTAACTGTATTTTTTCACTATTTTTGTCTTACCTTCACCTCTTTTTTTCTTTTTTTTCTGTGTCATTCTCCTCTTTTACTTCATCTGAATCCCTGATTTTATTTTATTTTACCATCTTCCCATCTTGCTGTTTGTCCAACAGAACAACAAAACCTGCTCCTCATCTCGATGGGTAAGAATCCTTTCCAATTTCTCAAATGATTGCTGAAGTTTGAGGGTTATATTGAAAGTAGACAACAATGGGGAAACAAATCCTTAATTCCGTGGAAGATTATACAATGGGATGAGATGGAAAACAAAAGTTTCAGTTCTATAAAAGTTTCAAGTGGCGACTTACTTCCTAAAGCTGGACAAAAACTTGAATTGTCTTAAATCCTAGAATTACTTCTTCAAAACTGCTTGCTGCCCTCAGCCCATAAATCTGGGAGTGGAATTGCCAGATTTAATATATTTGAGCAGTCGTGTCTTTAGGGGCATGTTTTTATCCCTAAAATTTATGTGGCACATGGAAGACAGAGAAATGTGGTACCATAGAACAAAACCAAGGATTCCTTTATTTTAACTGTCCCTACAATGCCAGGGGGGAATTGTATCCTGGGTTTGTAGAGATTTATAAATTCTTCTCTGGGGAGGAGTTCTGTCTTGTTTTATAGATGGGCTCTTGATCTTTATTGCACAAAACTGCAAAAATAGAAGGGTGGGTAGTAATTTTAATCTGTTTACCCTGCCCTTGTAGAGGAGACGAGACTGCTTCAGTTTGGGGGAAATACTTGATGTCAGAGTGGATCTTTGTTTCACATTGCATAAAACCTTAGCACTGTTAATGTTAAAAGCATTTAAAAAAACTTACTTAAAATGCATTAACAGCTTAATGTTTCTATCTCAGACTTACTTTTAAAATGTGAAATTAATTGGAAAATCATCACACTGATTCACAGATGTTTTGTACTTTGTAAATGCTTCCTTCCTGCAGTGTGCACGTTGTCTTTGGGCTGGTTATTTCTGGGTTTGAAGTCATAGAACAGATAGAAAATCTCAAAACCGATACTGCGAGCAGGCCCTACGCAGACGTCCGAGTCATTGACTGCGGGGTGCTGGTCACCAGATCAGCTAAAGATGGTGAGTTCCCAGAATTATTCATTAGCTTTAATTCAGCATTCTCAAAATTAGTGAGCTTCATGTGTGGGGAAATTTGTAGAGAATTCTCCAGGCCTGACAGAAGGCCCACACAGTGTGTGCATCCCTGTGCAAACCTTGAGACAAGAACTGCTGGCTTAGAAATGCCACAGAATAGGACAGACATTGCTGAGAGAGAAATGGAGCCAGAAACAAGCTTCAAAGGATGGCCTTGCAAGTAAGACCAGATACTCTGGAGAAATAGAACTAGGAAATATGCATTGTAGTAGGACCCATGAGAGGTAATTTTAGATGATTGGCTTTAGGGCAATTTCAGCATGAAGTGGCCAAAACTGATAGGCCAAGAAACATTTATAATGTATTGTAATTAGGAAATAGTTGGCTTCTGGTTGTGATGGCCTGAATTATAACATCTGTATTGTCTCACCCTTCTCATGAGACTGAAAATGGAATAAAAGTTTTTAAAACACCTCTCAGTTGCCCCAGCTCTGGGTCAGAAAAATGCTCAATCCAACATCCTCCCCTCCCAGGAGCTGTTCCTGATCTCTCTTCTTGCTGTGCTTCAGGACCTGTTGAATGACAGAGTTCCTTTTGTTCTTCATGGGTTTCAGGGTGGCTTGTCCATTCTTGAAGCAAACAGGGAAGAACTCAAGGTGTGCTGTGGTTTAATCAATATAATTGTACCAGTGTGACCCTGGAAGCTCGAGGATTTCCCCCAGAGCAGGAGGGACTGTAATCACTTAGATTTGAAAAATAAGACAAGTGATGATGTATCAGAAGTTTAAACAGAAATAAGTGGGTCAGAAAAGGGCTTAATCTGACGCTCATGTTCTCAGAGAGTACAACAATTCCACCAACAGCTAAAAATCCTTATGGTAGACGTGTAGAATCTTAATTAATTCTTGTGAGCCTGTAAAATGTAAATCTTGGTGTAGGAGAGGAGGGCACAGCAAAAAAAAAATTACTTTATGCCCTCAACATTTGTCCCCTGCTCATGTTAGAGGTTGACATGACAAATTGAAAGAGGAATCAAAAGTTATTTTTCTGTGTTTGAAAGAGGGAGACATAAATGTGCTGTCCTTAAAGTTGGATTTTGTGCACTTTCCAAAAGTTTATTTTAAGATTCTGTAAAGTTAATATATGCAATATATGTGGTCAAGCTTATTTTCCTTTTCATGGAGATTCATAGAGAATAAACAATCTTAGATATATGTTTGGACAGTCTCTGAATTAGTGGAGTGTTATAAGTTTGCATTTTCAGCCTAATTTCTGATTTTCCTTAAGGATGAGATGGTTATTTATGTCCTTTAGAGAAAGTCAGAAGGAGCTTTAGTATAAAATGTGAGGATGCAAAAAAAGAGAAAATAACAAAGTTTTAAGAATAAAAATTACACAGCTGGGCCAGCAACTACTTTGTTCTTAATCTTTGGTTTGCAACCTGTGTGTTGTTTCCAAAAGCACCTAATTTTTTTTTTTTCTATAAGTGGCCTTTGCTTATCTGTATATTCTGTTTTTGCTGGAAAATATTTGTATAGTACTAACATGGAGTTAGATGAAGTTTTATTTTGATTTTTTGATATTGAGAAAAAGGTCACAGAGCTTCTCTAAAATAGCTCATTTGTATATTTATGCATCTATAAAATTTTGTGCTTTGTGCTTTTACATGCACTCACATGTGCACAGTGTCAATTGAAAATATCTGTTCAAGCTTTGGAGAAGAAGAAGAAAGTTTGCTCTGACTCAGAAGCCTCAGAGTCCTCTTCCAGTGTGTCCAGCTCTTCAGAATCCTCATCTGAGAGTGAGGCTGAGAATGAAAGGAGCAGGAGGAAAAAGAGGAAAAGAAGAGCTAAAACCAAACAGTCCAGGAAACGAAGGAAGGAGGAGAGGAAGAAGGAGGATCCAAGGTGCAAGCGAACCTCAAGCCAAAGACGGTGACTGTTCTCTAAAATTTTAACAATTGCAGTAAAATCTGGGGAATTCTGCTTTGTTTCCATGAAGTGCTCAAGCACTAAATATGAAAATGCTTTTAAGTTTGGGGTTTGGTGCATGATTTTATAAACAAACAAAAAACCCTAAAGCTGAGCTTGTTGAGTTTTCCATTAAATGGAAGATCTTTGTAGATAGAAGCAAGAGTGATGTTGAAATTACTAAATTCCAGCATGTGAAACTCTTCAGGGCTCAGCACACTTGTGTAAAAGTGAGACTTCAGGCAAATTGCAGAACTTTGTACGTATATTTGATTATATTTTAAAAATATCTCACAAGCTGTAAATGAAAAGTAGAATTACTTGCTGTAAAGCAAAGACTGAACTTTTTCTCCAGTAATAGTGGCCATCCACCCTTTAGCCTAAAATGGGTTGTGGAACACGTTTTGGTTGGTAAGCCAACTTTAAGTTTGATGCATCTTGTCTTGGAATCCAGTTGGACAAGGGATTTTCCCAGCTGTGTGTGATTTCTCACCCTGCTCTTTTCCTTAGCAGCCTTTCTGACAAGAGCGATGTCGCAGACAAAGTCGACCTTAGCACAAAGCGGGACAAGCCTGTGGTACGTCCTGAAGAAATCCCCCCAGTGCCTGAAAATAGATTTTTGCTCAGAAGAGATGTGCCTGTTGTCAATATAGAGCCTGAACAGTAAGGAACTCCAAGCTTCTTATTCTGACTTGCTGAAAACTGTGCATGAAATATTCTTGTTAACGTTCTATTCCTGGGGCTGCTGACTGACTGCAGTGTCAGAAATGCTGCATGAGGTCATTTCTTTGTCCTTTTTACAGTTTCTTTTCCTTGTGACCTGTGCCAGGGGTTTTCAGTGAGATCTCGAGATTATTTCATTGGCCTTTCAGGTGTTAAACTCAATTAAAAACAAATAATGAATAATTTCAGAAGCAACCAAGCTATGCAAACCACAGGAAATACTTGATTGCAAGGGAAACTTGGGATTGGGAGAGGTGATTTTTTGTCTTTCTTAAACTGAAGAAAAAACTTTGGTTCAGAATCAATGACCTGGAATTTCTTGACTTAGCAGTGTTTGAGAATAAGAGAAAATACTCTTCTTTTGCTACAAAGGAGGTCACAAATTCACAAAATACTTTTCAATGTTTTTTGTACCTCCACTGTCACATTTCATTCCTTTTGTGACTGAGCTAATCCATTAGAGTGGATTAGCTCTAAAATCAGTGTCGGGTATGTTTGGTGTTGGTTTTTTATTTTCCCATAATGGTAGTCTCCTGTAAGCCTTTTCTTGGAACATCACTCACATTCCCAAATATTTACTCACTGCTTTTGGGGATATTGCATGGACTGAAAGGAGCAAAGCTTTAGGACCTGTGAGCTGTCCTGAACTGAGACTCTTCTGCCCATGTTGTCTTCAGGATTTGTGCCCCAAACACAAGTTAACCTCCTGTGACAGTGTTTTGCAAGTTCATTGTTAGCATTAATTTCTGTGTCAAGAGATCAGGCTGCACATTTGGTTGAAAACAAATTCATGTTGATTTGCCTTTTGTTGCAGAACTCTCTTGCTTTGTTTCTTGAAAAAACCACTGAATTCTGTCTGAAAATGAATAAGATGATGAATATTTCTCATTTTTAACTTAAACTAATTGTAAGTTGTTTTTTTTTTTTTTTTTTGCTGTGTAACTTAATTCTTTATTAATTTATGTAGGAAGCTGCTTGATGCTGCGCCAGTTCTGACTGACCAGAAACCATCAGTCTCTAAATCTGGACGAAAAATTAAAGGAAGAGGCACAATAGTATGTGACAATTTTATTTCTTTCTTTATTTCCTCTCTCCCAGAGTAACATCCCTGACTTTGAGCTTTGAATTTCCCTGGAGGGCTTTGTGTGACACTTTATTTACATGTTGTAGGATGCAGCGTAGAAAGCATTGAAACCTTGTCAGTTAGTTGATTTTATAACACTTCTTTTCCATCCTTCCTGTTACTAGATTATTTGGAGAAAAAAAATGCCAGATGGAATGTTTGGAAATATGTATGTCAATAAAGACTTGGGGAAAAATAACTTAAAGTGGAGTGGAATTGGTTTCTGCCAGATATTGGAGTTTCTATCTTTTTTTCCCATCATTTTGGCACCCTCTCAGCAAAATTAAGAATGAAAAAAAGATGTCATTTAGGGTTGGCAGTTGGAGAAATGCGTTTTTCTTCCATCTCCTATAGTCTTGATTAGCACAGCTTCTGTCCAGGTGAAGTTTGTTGATGTTCTTCAAAATACTTGTTTGTAGGTTCCATGAGACTCCAGAGTATAAAATGTGAGAATTAGGGAGGTCCCGGACACCCTGCAATCTTTTAGGCCATTCTTCTGTAAAAGCTGGTTTTTAAGTAGTCATGGCTTCAGCTGAAACAATAGGGGAGCTCAGGTTATCTTGATTTTGTTTTCTAATACGAGAAGGATGTCTTAAAGCCTTCTGTAATTACCTGGATAAATAAATACCTGCATTTTTGTGATTTTACTCTGAGGGACAACATTTCCCCCCCCATTTAATTGCTTTCATAAGTGGCTTAAAATAACTGAGCCAAATCCAGATGTGCTTTTATTGAGTCAAGGAGCATCTGATTTCCTCACAGAATTTACCTAAGTGTGTATCCCACTGGGTAATGGAAAAGAAGGAGTTAGCAATAGCGGAGTTCTTCTTTCTCTGCTGCACAAGTAGCTCTTGTTGCCTACTTAAATGCTCTGCCTAAGCACAATTTTTTAAATGTGACTCTTCATTGCTCTTTTTTGTGAAAGAGTTTGGGTTTTTTTTGTGTTCAGTTTTTTACTTTTTAATTGCTGGGTGAGCTGCTGGCCTCTCTCAGGCTTTGCAGGATGCTCTGTAAGAAGTGTAAAAGATGCAGTGGTTGTGTGAGAAAGCCTTCCTGCTTTGTGATTTTACTCTGTGTTTGCTGTCACAGCGCTATCACACCCCGCCGCGGTCGCGCTCCTGCTCCGAGTCGGACGATGAGGAGAGCAGCGAGACCCCTCCCCACTGGAAGGAGGAGATGCAGAGGCTGCGGACGTACCGAGCACCCAGCGGGGAGAAGTGGAGCAAAGGAGACAAGTAAGAGCCTCAGCACAGCTTTGAGATATCCTGGCCTTTGGCATGCCCTCATTGGTTGTGTAGATGTACCACAGCAGTACCAGGGTGAGAGGAAACAGCCTCAGGTTGTGCCAGGCGAGGTTTAGATTGGATATTAGGATTTTTTTTTTTCACAGAAAACACTGGAGCTGGCTGCCCAGAGAAGTGTGAAGCCACCATCCCTAGAAGTGTTCAGAAAACATGTGGATGTGGCACCTGGTTTAATGCTGAACAAGGTGGTGGTGCCAGTGGTTAGACTTGGTGATCTTAAAGGTGTTTTCCAACTTAAGCAATCAGTGACTTCCTTTTCCTCAAAGTGGATTACATGGTTTCTTTGGAGTAAAACAATCAAATCCACTAAGCCTTTATTGTTTTAGTTGTATATTCTTTCAGCAGTTGCAAACCATGTGATGGATGGAAGCCAGCTCTCCAGAATTCCTGATGGCTTGATACTAAATATGAGTATTTAGTATTATATAAATATGAGGATATATTCTATCAAATTACAGGAGATAAATCTTAAAAGGAAAACTTTAAAATATTATATGTAAGTGGTAGTGCATAATTGTAAATGTTTCTGATTATTCTTTTTTATGTACTGAGATGTTTTAAAACTTGTGTTTAAGTGTGGTTTAAGGATCCTGTTTTGTAGAGGTCAAAGTCCTGCAGACTGAGGTAATTAAAAGCTTAAATCTCTTTACATGGGTCCTAAAATATGCAAAATTTGCTGGTGTTGGTTGATTTATTTCTTAGGGAGAAGTAGCTCTTGATAGTGATGCAATTCTGTGTCTTAAAATGAGTGTAAGGAATTCAAAGCAATTCTCTGATAATAAAGTATGTGTGCTAGGGTTTATGTAAACTTACTTAAACTTACAGGGTTTATGTAAACTTACTTAAAATTAAGCTTAAAAATACATAATTTATTGAAAGTTTTTTGAAGATTTTGCACTTAGTGTGGGGTTTCTTTGTTTTCCAGATTGAGTGACCCCTGTACAAGCAGATGGGATGAGAGAAGTGCATCCCGGAGATCCAGGTCTTGGTCCCATAACGGTTATGCTGATCTAAGCACTGTGAGATACTCCAGCCATCACAAGAAGCACAGGAAAGAGAAGAAGAAGGTGAAGCATAAAAAGAAATCTAAAAAGCAGAAGCATTTCAAGAAGCACAAGCAAACAAAGAAAAAGAAAACATCAGCCTCATCAGATGTAGAATCCTCTCATTCCTTCCACAGGAGGACAAAATCATCTTATGATCGTGAGAGGAAATCTCGTTCTTCCTCATTGTCTTCCAGACGTTCATCCAGGAGAGACTGGTCTAAATCTGATAAGGAAGACCAGAGCTTGTCGTCTTTATCAAGCAGAGGGTCTCGATCATACTACAGGTCCAGATCCAGGTCTAGATCTAAATCAAGATCTTACTCCAGAAGAAGTTCTAGGTCAAGATCAGCCTCTAAATCATCGCGATCTCGAAGTAGGTCACGGTCAAGTTCTAACCCCAGGCAGCAAAAGACTGTTCCCAATTCTCCACGAAATATTTCAGCACGGTTAAATGACACTAAGCTGACCAAGACTGCTGAGCCTGTCCGAGCAGTGATCCTGCCCAGTGACAAGGTTATCGTGCCACCAGTTGTCCCAGAAAATCTCCCTGTCATACCCTTAAGTGACAGTCCCCCACCTTCAAGGTGGAAACCTGGGCAGAAACCTTGGAAGCCATCGTATGAGCGAATTCAGGAGATGAAAGCTAAAACAACCCACTTAATTCCCACCCAAACTAATTACAGTTTAGTGGTTGTTAAGGAAGCCAACACTTCTTCCTCCTATCGGAAGCAGGAGAGGAGCTCCGAGAGCGATCGGAGCGGTTATTCCAAAGGCCGCAGCGACAGGAGCTCGGAGAGCTGGCCGAGGTCCAGGAGCCGGTCCTCTCGAAGCCGCTCATACTCAAGATCTTACTCAAGGTCTAGAAGCCCATCGAGCTCGAGGACAAAATCTCCTTCCTCTGGCAGGTCACCATCCCCGAGTAAATACCGCAGTGACAGGTCAGGCTACAGCGAGTCCACGTCCGACTATTCGCTCAGCGATGAGGACAGGCACAGGAACAAAAGGAAATCCACATCCAGCGATCCCAAAGCTCGGGGCCTCAAAGTGAGACAGGAAACGAGCTCTGAAAGCACTTTGCCTTACACACATCCAAAGGATTACGATGAGTCTTCCCAAGGGTTGAAGGAGAGTGACAGTTTGTCATCCTCAGACTTCTCCTCCGACAGCGAGCACTCTGCCAAAGCCAAAGCGGTCCAAGAAAAAGAAGGCCGCTTTCCATTAGAAGGGGATGCTGAGAAGCAGGATAAAAATAGCTTAAGTTGTGAGAGAGGGGAGGAGAAAGCCAAGGGTGAGCGAGATTCTGATCACTCCAAAAAGAAAGCAGCTAAGGAGAAATGCTCAGAGCAGCCCAGAGGTGGTGCAAAAACCAAACGCAAATCCTACTCAGGTAGCAAATGGGACTCGGAGTCAAACTCTGAAAGAGGAGAGGCAAAGCATAATAGGGGGGATTCCAGACCCTCCTCTGGGAAGGAAGAAGGAGAGGCCACCTCAGGGTCTGACACGGAGCTTAGTGTTACCAAAAGGATAAAAAACCAATCCAATTCCTCAGAGGGCTTTTTGGGTACTGACTGTGCGTGGAAGACAAGCAAACAGTTGTCATCTTCTGAATCTGAGAGTTCTTGTTCCAGCTCAGCAGACACTCGAGGCAAGTTGAAAAAACACAAACATGGGTGGAAAAAGACTCCTAAAAAATCACATTCCAAAAAAGCAAAAGAAAAATCAAAAGGGAAAAAAGAGAAAAAACACAAAGTCCAGAAAAGAAAAGAAATGTTTCATTGGCAGCCCCCTCTTGAGTTTGGGGAAGAAGAGGATGATGAGATAAATGAAAAGCCGGTTACCAAGGATGATAAAAAAGAAAAGCAGCTTAGCAGGGACATAAAGGATAAAAAACAAGTTTATGAAAAGGATGAAACAGTCACAGATAAAATGGGAAATGGTGAAAAGTCATGTGTGAATGAAAACCTTTTAGATAAAAACACCACAAGTGGGGTCTCACCAGATCGCAGCAACCTTAATAAAGAGCCCATTGAAACAAGCACTTCAACTGGTATTTTAAACTCAGGAATAAACGTGGCTGCCTGCAAGAGTGAGATTAAGCAAGCTGAAGAAAATAACCAGAATGGGCTGGAAGATGTTATTCAGACAGATGACAACATGGAGATTTGTACTCCGGATCGTAACTCGCCGGGGAAGGTGGATCTGGATGTTTTGTCTCCTGTCATTCTCACTGCTAAACCTTTAAGTGCTGGTGTAAATAAAGAGTTACAGGTTGAGACCCCTGAGCAAGATGCTGTCAAACTGGGAAACAACATAAGAGACTTTATTAATATTAAAGAAGGAAAAGAAATGGGAAGGCAAGAAAATAACTCTGCTCCTGTGTCTGGTGCTAAAGACTGTAGTTTAAAAGGTGAAAATTCTGAAAATACACCAAGCAATATGATAGACAATAAGTGGAAGCCTTTGCAAGGTGTTGGTAACTTGAAACCAGCAACAATCAGTATGACCATGGAGGTTAAAAATGTAGCATCAGCACCAGAACCTAAACCAGCAGGTTTAAGAATTGAAATAAAAGCAAAAAATAAAGTAAGGCCTGGTTCTCTCTTTGATGAGGTGAGGAAAACAGCCCGGCTAAATCGTCGGCCAAGGAACCAAGAAAGCTCCAGTGAGGAGGAATCTCCAAGCAGAGATGACAACAGCCCTTCCAGGAGTCTCAGCAGGTCACGAAGTAAATCTGAGTCTAAATCCAGACACAGAACAAGGTCCATATCCTACAGTCACTCGAGAAGTCGATCCCGAAGTTCTACATATTCATATAGGTGAGAAGCCTGTGCTGCTCCACAACCAGCGCTGGTAAATTGAATGTTCTGATAATTTCAAGGAATGCTTTTCAGGTTGTGTTTTTTGTTTTTTAACAGCCCTGTGTTACAGAACCACAGAGTGGTTTGGGTTGGAAGGGACCCTAAAGACCATCCAGTTCCACCCCCTGCCATGGGCAGGGACACCTCCCACCATCCCAGGCTGCTCCAAGCCCTGTCCAGCCTGGCCTTGAGCACTGCCAGGGATCCAGGGACAGCTAGAGCTGCTCTGGGCAATCTGTGTCAGTGTGAAGTGTCCTCTTTGTCCTGTCCCTTCATGCCTTGTCCCCAGTCCCTCTCCAGCTCTCCTGGATCCCCTTTAGGTCCTGCAAGGGGCTCTGAGCTCTTCCTGGAGCATTTTCCTCTCCAAGTGAACATTCCCAGCTCTCCCAGCCTGACTCCAGAGCAGAGGTGCTCCAGCCCTTGGATTAACTCAGTGGCCGTATCACCTAGCAAGTATGGAATAAATATTTAGCTAGAAAGCTCAAGATTCATAATTTCTCCTGGTTCCCATTTTCTGCTGCTCTTCTCCTCAGCTGTGTTCTCTTGGTGTCCTTGGTTGTAGGTCCAGGAGCTACTCGAGGAGCCGGAGCCGGGGCTGGTACAGCAGAGATCGCTCCAGGAGCCGGAGTAGTTCCTACCACAGCTACAAGAGCCGTAGGTGAGTTCAGCCAGCTGGAGACAGTGCCAAACGTGTTCTCCTCCTCTTCCTCCTCTCCCCCTGCCCTCTTCAGCACTTTTGGTTTTTTTTTACTAAAAACCCTTCTGTGGTTTTGATTTTGTCAGTCGGAGCTACAGCAGGAGCCGATCCAGGAGCAGTTCCTATGGTCACCACAGTCGATCCAGGTATGGATTTGATGCCTTGTGAAGGCTGTCCTAGAGGAGAGGCTGGACAGAGCTAAAGAATAAAGCAGGGATTTATTAAAGGATCTCCTCCATGGATCCACCTTGGGCAGCACCAGAGCCCAGCCAGGGCTGCACCCAAGATGAACCAAAATGGTCCCAAAATGCACGAGCGCTCCCGGGGGCTCTCTCTGGGATCAGTTCTGCTCCATTGGCACCTTGGAGTTCATTGTCCCATTCCAGCTTTAACCCAGGCAGTCCCATCCTGCTTGTTTTTCTCTCTCCAGCCCACGGTGTTTGTGCTCCTGGGCTGAGATTTGGATCATTTGTCCTTGGTGCCCAGCTGGAGCAGGAATTGTTTTGTCTCCCTGCTCTGTGCAGAGAGCTCAGCATCCCTGATATGAAGCTCAGACCCACACAATGAAGCAGCACAGAATCTGAAAATATAAAATCTAAACCTGAGGCATCAGGTTGTCCTTTTATACAATCCCTGCAAGAACTGTGCTGCCCATCAAATCATCTTGGTATAAGTCTACTTTTATTTACCTTTCTTTAAAATAGACTTTATTATATAATTATTGTATATTATACTATTATATTTTATACATACTACCTATTATATTATGCATACTGCAATACAAATGCATATCTAAATACATACTTATTTATAAAAATACTTTTTAGGATTACTTTCATCTCATAGAATCCCAGAATGGTTTGGGTTAGACAGGACCTTAAAGATGATCCAGTCCCCTGCCATGGGCAGGGACACCCTCCGTAGACCAGGGTGCTCCAAGCCCCTTCCAGCCTGGCCTTGGACAATTCCAAGCATCTGTAGTACTTAAAACTGTTACTATAGTATCATACTGGCAACTTGAATCAAAGCAAAATGAACACAAGACACTTTCAAAAGCTGAAAATAACCAAACTATCCTGGCATTACAGTTGCAGGTATTGCTATAAGTAGTAGCCAACACTTTTGCTTTTGTTTTTTTTAAATAAAATTGAGCGATAAATGGAATCGCTTGGCTTGCTTTCAGAAGTATCAGCAAACAAGAAAAAGGGAAAAAAAGAGACAACATGAAACTTTATAAATGCTTAGTATGTCCTTCCTAATAAAATTGAGATTTTTAGTGTTACTTTGAAGAATGTTGTGTTGAAACCTCTATAAAGCATAGAATTGTTTAACACATCCTTGACAGTAATTTCTATACAGCCCCTCATATATTTATATAAATATCCTTTAAACCAGCATATAAAACAGCACTTTAGAGCAGAAATTGTGAATTCAGTATTACTTTCTCCCCTTTTAAAGCAGGTCCTACAGCTATGACAGTTACTACAGCAGGAGTCGGAGCAGGAGCAAGAGGAGCGACAGCTACCGGAGATCTCGGAGCTACGACCGGAGATCCAGGTGGGTCTGACCCTGCTCTGGTGCACAGGGAGTTGCTGAACACAAACAGAGGATGTTTAACAAGGCCAGAGTTCTGCTTCTTCCCCATAAAAATAAGAAATACACTCAGGAAAAGTAATAATTCAAAGCAAATTCTAATGAAAATCAGAACGTGTGTGTGAGCGAGGAAGGTGGAGGCTCTTGACATTCCAAATATGAGGATGGGGAAGCAACCAGGATAAGGAAAAGTTGATTTCCATGTTATTGTATCCATGCATTCAAAATTAGCACCTTTTCCCTGGGAAATGATGAAATCCCCATCCCTGGAAGTGTTAAAGACTTGTGGAAAAGGCATTGGGGACATGGTTTAATTGTGAAGACAGTAGGGCTGGGTTAACTCTGTGATCTCAAAGCTCTTTGCCAACCTTAATGATTCTATGATTTGATTTATTCTATTTTTTAAATAATATCAAATGTTTCTTAACACATTAAATCTTGTCACATAGCTGACAAGATTTAACTCAAGTGCTCTGTTATGGATTAAAAGCTGCCTGGTATGCAGGGAATTCCAGTGGATGGTAAATTCTTTTTGGTTATGCTGCAGAAGTGGATCTGAAACAATCTGGAAGGGAAATTAAAAGTTTTGCTGGAACATAGATTTAATTTTTAACTTCATGGAATGTATTTTGAAAGAATATTTTTACCTGCAAATCTCATGTGTGTAGAATAACTTTTATTTTCCTCAGTCCGGGGGATTTACATGAATGTAAGTGAGCACATTTCACAGAGATCAGAGATATGGAGAGTTGTAGATACATCTAATATCACTGATGATTTTTTTCATACCTTTTAATATACCCCCTATTAGTAATAAATCAGGTTTCTAAGACTACTGTACATTTTCATCCTCTTTTCATATGAATTTTTTCACAGCTTTGTACTAAATCTAAACGGACTTTGCTCTCACCCATTTGCACAAGACAACTTTCATCTTGTTTTGGAGGGAAAATTAATGAAATTTAATGAAGAATGTGAAAATAAATTTAAAATCATTGCTTTTATTATGTTGAGGAGCTTCAGTGTGGGATTAGGAAATGCTCACCTTTCACTTAGAAAGCTTCCCTTACAGGCAGGAGTCTGGAAAATCTCTGAAAGCTTGTTCTGTGTAATTTGAACGTGTCCTGTGGCTTGTCTGAAACCATCTGGGCTCTGTGTTGATATTTGGCCAGGTGCTGAGCTTGGAATTTGTCTGGAGGAGCCAAAACATTTTAAATACAATTTCCACACTGCAGACACACAAACACACTTCTATTGTGGTTATGGGGCCTAAGTTTTAATACCCTCCTTCGAACAAGAAAATAAAATATATGAACCAAGGATTTGTGACATTATCCTAGTTGAGAAATGCTTGCAGTGTAAAATTCCACTTGTTAGAATACATGTCTCACTCAGCTCAATTAGCTTTTATCAAAACATTCATTTTGGATGGTTTTTAGCTGTAACAGAGAAAGCAACATGTTACAAACAGTTTGAGTTACACAGAGTTTTCATCATACGAATTTAATGATTATTTCCATTTTGAGTATCCTTTAAAGAATCCTTCACTTACAAGAAATACAATCCTGTAGAAGACTGGTGTGTTTTCTTATCTATGACAATTTTTTGACATGATGCAGTTTTGAATTTGAGCAGCTTTGGGGCATTTAAATCTTTTTTCTGCTTGCAGGTCCTACGGCTCTGACAGCGACAGTGATCGTAGCTACTCCAACAACAGGAGCCCCAGTGAGAGCAGCAGATACAGTTGAGAACGTTCCTTTGAGGATGGAAACTCTATTCCAGAATTTTTTCAGTGTTATATTCAAAAAAACTCCTCTGACAGTGTCACAAGTGAAGGTTGTTTGCTGAATTAGCTGAAACTTTCCTGTTTAACAGCGAACTCAACTCTGCTTACAGAGAGGACTGAGCTCGACAGCTGATGTTATTTTTTTTTTTTAATGTCAAATGCAACTTTTACAAAATAATAATATAAACCCCCACTTTGGTTTCCTTGAATCAGCTTTTCCAAGCCATGAATTACACTTGGGTGAATTGCTGCTGCCACTTTTTGGGTGCAGCAGTCAGGACTGTCTTCAAGTCTGTTTATAAACACCTTAGGAAAGATGTGCTAGCAACTATTAAACTGTGAAGTCAATTTCTTAAAAAGGCTGCCATTTCTAGTTGAAAATGCTTTTTTATTGCTGGAAGCTGTTTCCATTCTGTCTTGATTGTTGACTATTGCATTCTGTACAGGATATAGATGAGGAAAACAAAGCCTGCCACTCTGTCTTAATCCCTCTGAACTGTGAGGATGTTCTGGAATTCTGCTGGAAAAGGTGAGCTGATGCCCAGTGGGAATTGTCAAACTGACAAACTGAGCAAAAGTGTGATGAGTGAGTTTGGAGCTTAATATCCAACTTGTCTAAACTTGTTATGTTTAAAAGAGGAATTTTGTGATAAACAGAAATGTCCTTCAGAGACTAAAAAAGTGTTTCTAAACACTTCCTGACTTTGATTTCAGTTCCTATTACAGTGCTTGGCATCCTTCAACACATTTTGAATGTTGTAAACCATGAGTGTATAATGAGTTTGTCCAAAGCACTCTTTCAAACACTGACATGATGATAATTTTTTTTGAGAAAACCAGCCATAAAGGTTCCTTCATAAACCCTCCTTTATGAAAGCTCTGTATCCCACTCACCATAGGGAATATCAGATATTGCTATTGCAGATATTGAACTATATCTTGTTAAAGCAGGACTAGAAGAGTGCTGGGATGCCTCATAAAAAGCATGCACAATACTTTCAAAGTAAAGTTTAGTACCAAAAATTACTCTTAGGTTACAGGTAAATGGCTTGCAAAAAAATAAATAGATTCAAGGTGAAGACTATTGAGTAGTTCTTGCAATATTCTGACTAAGTTGATTTTAAATAATCTGTAAAGTTTTTTTTCTGGGGAGTTTAGAAAGTTGTGTACTGAGAAAAAAATCAGATTTTTTTTAATGGCATAATGTAACCTGAAAATTTATGTCTGTGGTGACAAAAATGTGGTTTGATTAGAGCTAAGGAGCACTGTTATACCATAACAGTTTCCATTACTGATTTTCTGTAATATCTGGAGATGCTTTCTTTTGCTCATTTTCAAATATTGGAAATTATTTTTCTTAATCTCATCAGGACCCAATAGCTTTAAAAATTTAAAGTGGTAATTTCTTGCTGAGGCATCAATTTCTTCTTCCTTTGATTGAATTAAACTCCCCCAAATTTGATGATTTTTTGGTATACTTATGAATAGCAAGTTCAAAGGGAGATGGTGATGATTTCCTCCATTTCTGTCCACCCACAGCACATTCCTGAAATTGAATTGGCCATGGAGGTTTTTCACTTTTCTAGAAGTACCCAAAACTCTGCTCTTACCCCTTTCCTATACTTGAGAATTTAGTGACAAAGTGGGTGCATGAAACCTTTCCACCCTTTGGTAAACTTCAGCTTTTTAGCATTAAATACATTGAATACCCAAGTCAGAATACATTTACAAACCTGTTTCTAACAGCAGCAGCCATCTCAGAGTCCTGAACAAATATCTCAGTGATATTTGTTGTAGTTTCATCATTTTCAGAACAACTGTAACTTGCTTTTTTTTTCCCTTACTAAAGAAAATAGAACTAGAGGGTTCATGGTGTTACAAAATATACAAATATAACCAGTACTATTCAATACCTGTTAATGAAAATACTGCTCCAGGATCAGATTTTTATCATATTTCAAATCTGATTTGACTTTTTAAGGCCAGGAAAAGGTGATAGAAATGTGGTCAAACAGTTAACTGTAATTATCAAAAATTGCTGCACTGTCACTAAAGTCTTTTATATCTTTAGTCACAAATTTATAAAGAAATTCCATCAGGTAGAGGAAGGTTGGCGAGGGGTTGAGGGAAAGGTTGGGGGTATTTTTGCTTAGTGAAATCTGTTAAATTGTGCTTCAGATGGAAAATGTCCCCCTGAGCTGGTTTTCTAATGCTGCTCTATGTTTTTGCAATTTTGTTATTCCAAAGTAGTTGCTGTTTGTAAAATAAACTTTTTGTACATATCTGCAAATGCCTTTTTCTCTACATCCGGAAAAATCTGTGGTGCTGCTTGAAGAAAACAGGCAGGAAAATTAAAAATACACTTTCAGAATCCACTTTTGTCCCTTGCAAGACTCAAACACAAAGTTGCTTTTCCTTTTCTTGACCTACAAAGGGGAACCATTCCTCAGCAGGACTCTGGGTTTACATAATAGTCATTGGAGGAACAAATATTTTGAAATTTCCGAGTGATTTGAGGCCTCACCATTTCCTCAAGATGGCTAAAAGGTTCCTCTCCTTGGTGAAAAGAAACAACAGATCTCCACAGAAACCTGGGAATGGGCTGAGCTAATCCACTCTGCTAAATCTTCTTTCCCAGATCATTTCCTCAGCATGTTGGACATGTGCTGGAAGCCCATGGAGGCTTGCAGACTGATCCATCAGACCTTCAGACCTTCTGTTCCACAGCAGCTGGATTCCCGTGGGAATGCTGCCTTTGGCAGAGGGAAAAAGGATGAGAGGAGATGGATCCTTGGTGCTTGGTGAGCTCTTCAGTGTGATCTGCATATCCTGGCACTGCCTGACCTTGGAGGGGGGTGGCACCACCCCAGAGCAGATAAAACAGTGTTGGAGGAGCTCTTGTGTCGCAGGGCAGCACAAACCAGCTTGTCAGGGAATTACTGGGTTGGAAAGGACCTAAAAGGGACCTTAAAGCTCACCCAGTGCCACCCCCTGCCATGGCAGGGACACCTCCCACTGTCCCAGGCTGCTCCAAGCCCCATCCAGCCTGGCCTTGGACATTCCAGGGATCCAAGGACAGCCCCAGCTTTTCCAGGAGACCTGTGCCATTGCAGAGAAAATTGGGAATTTCTTCCTATTGTCTCATCTAACCCAGTCCTCTTTCAGTCTGAGGCCATTCCCTGTGTCCTGTCCCTCCATCCCTTGTCTTCTCCTTGTCCCTTTAAGCCCTGCAAGGAGCTCTGAGCTCTCCCTGGAGACTTCTTTTTTCCAGGTGAACATTCCCAGCCTGGCTCCAGCCCTTGGAACGTTCCCATGGCCTCCTCTGGCCCTGCTCCTGCAGCTCCAGGTCCTTCTGTCCGGTGACCCCAGAGCTGGACGCAGCCCAGCAGGGTGGGGTAAAGGGGCACAGTTCCCTCCCCAGCAGGGAATTAGAAGTATTCACCTGTCAGAATCTGAGATATTGATGATTCTGAGATTGTAAAACGTCTCTATCTGTCAGCCCCACTGCCAAAGCAGAAGCCATAATTCGTCTGTGCTGGTTTCAAGGGTGTTTATTCTGTTTATCTCTAACATGTTCTGCTGCCCTGCCGCAGCTCTGTCCTGCAGGGCAGCGTGTGGGGCTCTGCCCTCAGTGGGATGGTACAAACATTAAATACCACAAACTACCTGTGCTGGATTTACAATAACGTGCCAATATCTGTCACCTACGTTGGACAGTGTGTCCCCAGCCTGAACCAACAGAAAAATGCCAACACCACAGTGAAACATGGAGGGCATGAAGAAGGAGAAAAAGGACAAGACACACCCAATTTCCTGCATCTTGTCCCCTTTGGACCCCTAATCTAGAATCCTAAAATTTTACTTTTGCACCTGTTCCACACTTAATTATTACTCTTATCAAACACTCAGAGCTTGTAATTCATCCTGTAAGATTGAAAACTCTTTTCCATGGACAGAGATCACAGACAGTGTCTCTGGGGGCTCTGTCCAGGGGGTTCCTGACCCCTGCCAGGGTCCCAGTCACCTTGGTGATTCCCACAGTCACCAAGCTTTCTTTCAAGAACACAATGATTTTGATGCTTCCAGAGCCGTGTTCCCTGCAGGAATCAATGTTGGGGATCCAGGGTTGCTCTCAGGTGCTGCTGCTGCTGTGGAGGTCACACTGTCACCTTGAGCTGGCTCTGACAGCAGGGCTGGAGCAGTGCTGGGTCAAAATAGAGTGGTGACACCCAGGCATGGACTGCTCAGGAGTGAAACAGGTCTGAAATCCTGCAATGAAGTGAAATTAATACTCAATTAGGAGTGATTTCATTAAAAACAAAAGTTTTAAGCAAGGTTTGGTGTGCAGGTCTGGGGTTGTTTTGGGAATAGGTTATCCACAGGGTGTTGTGGAGTGGCTCTGTGTCCAGTTGCAGGTGAGACAACATTAAATGAACCATCTGCCTCTTCAACAGCTGCTTATAAATCACAGATTTACAAAGGCACAGCATAAACACTTTCCCTGCGCTCTCTGTGCCAAGAGATTCCCTTCCCACTCTATCACTTCCAAACAAGGGCTATTTGTCCTCGAACTCGAGGGGAAGGGGCATTCCCAATGCTCTTCCCGAGGATCCCTGGGTCTGTGGCAGTGGATTAAATTTCTCTTCTGGCTTTGTGTGGTTCCTGATGATCCCACTCACAGTTCAGAGCAGAGCACCGTGGTTGGATGACCTTGGGCTGCACCCTGGAATCCCATCTGCTGTCATTCCCAAATAGAATGATGCCTGGGGTTTAAATCAGGAGGAGCTCAAGCTCTGCATGCCCCACCCCTGCTTCACCTCCATGTAAATTATTCTTTTTTAGGTGGTGGTGAAACAGGAATTATTTTCCACCTGATGCATTAAAACTGCTTACAAATCATCTGAACAATTAAAGGGACCCAGGCCTGAATTTCATCATATCCACGGAATCCCTGAGAAGTGGATGGGATTGCATGAGTGAAATCACAGGGCCTGTGGCAGGCTTGGGGAGGTTTTTTTAATGAAGGTAATAAATTTGTGCATGGTGGATGCACAAAGAAGGGATTTGCATTAATTTGGGATTAATTGATATTTCTGCTGTGTATCTGTCTTTGCAAGAATGGGGTGCAGCCCAGGGAAAGTGATGTCCTTATCGCAGGGATTCTCTGACTTTGCACCTGAATTCTGGGTGCAATGTTGGGCCCCTCACCACGAGAAACATCGAGAGGCTGGAGCGTGTCCAGGGAAGGGAAAGGAGCTGGGGAAGGGGCTGGAGCACCAGGAGAGGCTGAGGGAGCTGGAGAGGGGCTCAGCCTGGAGAAAAGGGGGATCAGGGGGGACCTTGTGGCTCTGCACAGCTCCTGCCAGGAGGGGACAGCTGGGGGGTCGGGCTCTGCTCCAGGGAACAGGGACAGGAGGAGAGGGAACAGCCTCAGACTGAGCCAGGGGAGTTTGGATTTGATATCAGGAAAAATTTCTTCACAAAAGGGGTGGTCAGGCATTGGAAGAGGCTGCCCAGGGCAGTGGTGGAGTCACCATCCCTGGAAGCACCCAAAACACGTGTGGATGTGGCACTTGGGGAAAGGGTCAGTGTTGGGGTAATGGTTGGACTCGTTCTTGGAGCTCTTTTCCAACCTTAAGGACTTTGTGACTCTGGCACGGAGAGTTCTGAGCTCAACACAGCTTGTGAACACTTGTAGCTCCCCCTCTGCCATTATGTCCCTGTCTGGCCTCAGGCTGCAAAATTCCTTAATTAATTCCTGCAGACAGGAAGGGGCTGCCCTCCCTCTTGGGGTTGCTTTTTCTTCCAGCTCGTGGTGCACCCTGTGAGGGAGGATGAGGAAGATCCTTCCCCTCTCCTTGGTGCCATGTCCACCAACTTGGGCAGCGTCCACATTACTTTAACCCAATGAATTTTGGCAAATGAAAATGATGCCTCAGGTTTTAGTTTTTATATTTTCCTTGCTGCTTTAGTGTGTGGGTCTGAGCTTCATATCAGGGGATGCTGAGCTCTCTGCACAGAGCAGGGAGACAAAACAATTCCTGCTCCAGCTGGGCACCAAGGACAAATGATCCAAATCTCAGCCCAGGAGCACAAACAACGTGGGCTGGAGAGAGAAAAACAAGCAGGATGGGACTGCCTGGGCTAAAGCTGGAATGGGACAATGAACTCCAAGGTGCCAATGGAGCAGAACTGATCCCAGGGAGAGCCCCCGGGAGCGCTCGTGCATTTTGGGACCATTTTGGTTCATCTTGGGTGCAGCCCTGGCTGGGCTCTGGTGCTGCCCAAGGTGGATCCATGGAGGAGATCCTTTAATAAATCCCTGTTTTATTCTTTAGCTCTGTCCAGCCTCTGTTCTAGGTCAGCCTTCGCAAGGCACCAAAAAAGCATGAGGAAGTTTGGGGAGGTCCTTGTGAAGGCGGGAGGGCAAGGATTGCTGCACTTCCAGAGGAAACACCTGCTCTTGGGAATGTGACATGAATCAACCAGCAGAGCTTCGTGGGCCTTCAGAAGCAGGAGTTTTGATAAAAAATGAGAATGAACCCGCTTTATTGAGAGGGATGCATGTTTCATCATAAAGAAAGATTTTTCAAAGCCAACTTTGTAAAGCAATGCCAATTTTATATATTATACCCCCTGTAACTTCATTTCCCTTATTCCCCATGTCTGCCCTGAAGGGATAGATCAGTCCCTCTGGTGTCCCGTGACTGACTTTTCAAGGGCTTGGAGTCACAGTGATACCTTGAAAAGGCTGATCTAGAACAGAGACTGGACAGAGCTAAAGAATAAGATATGGATTTCTTAAGAGGCCTCCATGGATCCACCTTGGGTAGCACCAGAGCCCAGCCAGGGCTGCACCCAAAATGAACCAAAATGGCCCCAAAATGCACGAGCGCTCCCGGGGGCTCTCCCTGGGATCAGTTCTGCTCCATTGGCACCTTGGAGTTCATTGTCCCATTCCAACTTTAGCCCAGGCAGTCCCATCCTGCTTGTTTTTCTCTCTCCAGCCCACGGTGTTTGTGCTCCTGGGCTGAGATTTGGATCATTTGTCCTTGGTGCCCAGCTGGAGCAGGAATTGTTTTGTCTCCCTGCTCTGTGCAGAGAGCTCAGCATCCCCTGATATGAAGCTCAGACCCACACACTAAAGCAGCACAGAATCTGAAAATATAAAAGTTAAAATCTGAGGCATCAACAGGACATGAGGGAATGGCTTCAAACTGAGAGAGAATAACTTTAGATTGGATATTAGCAATAAAGTCTTGGCTGTGAGGGTGGTGAGGCCCTGGAAAA